ACTAAATTGGCCGAAGGCTTTCTTCATCCTAACTTCTTTTGCAATTTATTGTGAGGAGGAAGAACACGTGGGATAAAATATCTGAAGCTTGGGACAGGCAAAAGAGAAAAATAGCCAAATTGCTAGCAATATTGATAGCAGTATCAATAAACGAAAGAAACAAGAAGGAAGAGAATGGAGGCCAGAGGCAAAGAAAAGATCAATTATAAACAACCAGTCTTTTCTTGCTTCTTGTCTAGGAGTGCAAGAGAGGTGCTAGAAGAGCCTTCACATATATGGAACTATATATGGGAGGTTGTCTGAGGGCACACATTGAAGATAATAACAAAATAATAATCCTTGCATTTGATATACAGTAGTAGCTTTTCGGGTCTCAAGATGTCACAAAGTACTTCACATGATTTTACTTTGAACTGTGGTGACTGTGTATTGTATGGTGCTCCAAGACACTATCCTGCATGAAAGGCATTATATAAATGGTAGTGATTGTTGACTTATGTTGTTGCATCTCAATCAGATCACCCCTAAGCCTCCATTGCTTTAGGGAATGTAACTTTACTTTACCCAGCCTCTCACCATAGCTGAACCCCTTCACTCCACATATTAATCCAACAAATTAGCACTGAACATACTCCAAGACTGGTATACCATTCCTGGATTAGGCAACCAAACTGAGCACAATACTTCAAATATCTGACCAGCACTCAGTACAACTGAAGCAACATGCTATACACCTTCTTGATTCCAATTCAATAACTTGCTTCCTGTAGCTGTGAACTAGCTTTTAATGACATACAGATCCCTAATCTGTATCTTTATCTAACCCCACACTTTCCCAGATAAAATGTAATCGCATCCGTCATTCTCAATACCAAAGTATACTAACTCGCATTTTACAATGTTGAACAATTTAGCAAAGTAAGGCATTTGCTAAACGTCATAGATCTGAGGACAAGCATAATCTATCTATTGCCCTTTTCTGTTTTCTCGTCTCTTCAACATTTTTATACCTACTAGTTTATGTTGTTAGGAAACTTAGATATGATGCTTTCTATTTCTATATCCAGGTCATTTATATATATCGTGAAAGGTTTGTAGCTCCAGCACTAATCCTTGGACGAACCACTTGTCACTGCCTGACAACTCCCATTTCACTGTCTCCTGCTTCCCAACCAATTTTCTATTTATGCCACAATATTGCTTCTTAATAGCAAGTAATTTCCCGTGTGTTACGTTATCTACCTTCTGAAAATCATATTAATTGCAACCATCAATAACAGGGCAACCCAAAAGACATCATTGGCTATCACTGAAATTTTAATTTACCACAATAAATAAAAATAATCTTTGAAAGGATTTGCATCCATGCTTTATTATGTCATCAAGACATTGCAGCATGCTTCACAAATTTGATTGTGAAATGCAGTGACTGTGTAGGTAAATATTGCAACTAATTTACGCACAGCATTGCCCCACAAACAGCCATGAAGAGAATGACCAATTTATTTTTTTTAATTTGGGGATTGTTGGTAAGGACACTGGGAGAAACTCATCTCTTTTTGAATACTGCCAAGGGATTTTTAATGTCCACCCTGAAGAGATTTATGGGACTTCAGTTTATGGGCCTAGAGGACAGCACCTCCAACAACGCAGCCCTCCCCCAGCACTGTATTGGAATGTCACTTTAGACTGTCAGTTCAAAGTCCTCACATGGGCTTGAACCCATGGCCTTCTGACACAGAGAGTGTGCTGACTGATAAAACCAGGCTGACAGGCTGATAGTCATCTGCATTGCATATCGGGGTCACCGGTTGAAATCCTGTTAGATTCCAATTTAGCTCATCTGTTGGATCTTCTCTTTTTTAGCTCAGAGACTATAATAATAATCCTTGCATTTGATACAGCACAGTGCTTTTCACATGGGGAAGATGTCCCAAAGCGCTCTACAGGATTTTGCTGTTAAAGTATAGTGACTATTTTGTAGGTGAAAGCGGTAGCCAATTTGCGCAGAGCAATGTCTGAAGTTTAACCAGCTAAAAACACAAAGCTTGCTATTGAGAACACTATCTGGCAAGCTTGCCGTTGTTTGTCCACCTAGGCCTGCTCTATTACTCATTATAGCTTCAGTTTGCAGGGTTAACTGGAGCAGAGTTAACAAGAATCCCACTCTGGATGATTGACTCGTTTACGACATTCTGTTGCCAAACATGATATCTTGAAGCCATCTTAGCTCCAAGCAGAACCTGCCTAGCCCCTCCCCGGAGGCTTCAACAACAAGAATTTGCATTTACATAGCGCCATTCACACAGGGTAGCGCCCCGGGGCACTTGGTGGAGTCTGACCCTGAGCCAGGGGGAGAGGGAAGGGTGACCGTAAACACAATCAAAAAGGAAGGTCTTTAGGCTCGGATCCAAAATACAATTAGATGCCACAACGGAAACATCAATGAGATGGAATGGACAGACTTTTACAACAACAACAAGATTACATTTGTCTAGCGCCTTTCACGTCAGGAGGATGTCCCAAGGCGCTGGACAGAGTACAGCATTTCAGACCCGAGCTGGGGTCAGTGGGGCAGAAGGGGAGGGGAAGGGGGGTAGCTGATGGCATGGTCAAAGAGGAGAGTCTTGAGGCGGGACTTGAAGGAGGCTAAGGAAGGGCCGCGGCGGAGTGACTGGGGGATGGAATTCCAGAGGTTGGGGGCAGAATGGCTGAAGGCTCTCCCGCCAATGGTGGGGCGGGTGGGTCGGGGGACGTGGAGCAGGCCAGAGCCGGCTGGACGGAAGGAACGAGCGGGTTAGTAGGGGTTCAGGAGGTCACAGAGGTAGGGTGGGGCAAGGCCAAGGAGGGCTTTATATGTGAGGACCAGGATCTTGAACTGGATCCTCTGAAGGATAGGGAGCCAGTGGAGTCGGGCGAGAATGGGGGAGATGGGGGTCACGGAGTTTGGTGCGGGAGAGGACACGGGCTGCAGAGTTCTGGATTATCTGCAGCTTGTGGAGGGAGGAGTTGGGAAGGCTGACAAGCAGGGCATTTGCATAGTTGAGCCTGGAGGTAATGAAGGCATGAACAAGAGATTCAGCGGCCTGAGGGGTGAGGTTGTGGCGGAGTCGGGCGATGTTATGGAGTTGAGGGAAGGCAGAGCGGGTCATGGCTTGAATGTGGGAGAGAAAAGACAGTTGAGGGTTGAACAAGACACCTGGGTTCCTGACTGACTTGGTGAGTTGTAGTGTGCAACCATGGAGGTTGATGCTGCCAGAGCCTGAGGTGCTGAGGCATTGGCGCGAACCAATCAGGAGGGACTCAGTCTTATTCACATTCAACTGTAGGAAATGTGCCCTCATCCAGGACTTGATGTCCCACAGGCAGTCTGTCAGGACAGCAGTGGTCCTGGAGTTGAGAGTGGAGGCAGAAAGATAGAGTTGGGTGTCATCTGCATACGTGTGGAAGTTGACCCCATGTCTGCGGATGATGTCACCAAGGGGTGATTTATTGATAATTTGATTTATGCTTTAAATCAAATAAGTAATAGATTTAAACATTAATAGATATCTGGTAAAAAGTTCAATCTAATAATAATCTTTGTCCTCAAAATGTTTCAAATATTTCAAAGTTAATTCCTGTCAAACACTGGAGCCAATTTGTGCACAGCACGGTCCCGCAAAGAGCCATGAATTAAAAATGTTTAGTCAGCTGATGTCTGACAAATGTGGAAACCCACCACCGTGTTTAAGAATATCCAAACAAGATGAAGAGTTCCACATGTAATATGTAACAATAATTCTGGCTTTTGATATAGCTCCTTATTAAGTCATCAAGATGTCTCAAAGCACTTCACACAATTTTACAGGAGTTATATTTGTAGGTGAACAGCACCTACACAGCAATGTTGCACAGCTATGTCTCAGAAAGAGCTACAAATGAGTGACCAATTTTATCTGGAGACTGTTGGCTAAGACACCAGGAGAAACTCTCCTCTCCTTTCAAATAATTCAATAGGATCTTTAATGTTGACCTGAACAGGCAGATAGGACCTCTGTTTAATGTCTCATCTGAAGGACGGCACCTTGAATAATGCAGTGCACCTCGAGAACTCCCTTGAAGTGTTAGCCGTGAATGAAATGAACGAACAATTTCGCTGAGGATTGCTGCAGGTCAAGACCTGTACCAAATAACAACCGTCGTGTGGCAAATGGCACCTTTGGTCCGGCCGGCGCGCGTCCTCAGATGTGCTCTTGCGTTTCACGAAACCACTTCATTCGGGTTCTGGTCTTGGAAAGTTACACATGTGTTCGCTAAACCAAACGGTAGCGTTCTGCATGACCACGGAGCATGAACGGAGGCCGTGGTGCCAGTGCGTCAGTGCCCGTGCCCGTGCCGGCTGTTTGAAAGAGCTACCACCAGTCCCACACCCCCTGCTCTTACCCCATAGCCCAGCAAATTCTTTCTTTGCAAGTACCTTGTGGAGTCCTGTAGCTCAGTGGTTAGAGCACTCGCTTTGCAAGTGAGAGACCCGAGTTCAATTCCAGGCAGGTCAGGGCGAAACCTTGGGCAAGTTTCCTTACTCCACACGGAGCCTAATAATAATCCCTCCAAAACCCAAAACAATAACAAATTGGTCATTTTCATTCTACGACTGTTTGTGGGACACCGCTGTGCGCAATTGGCTGCCGCGTTCGCCCACAAATACACAGTCAATTCACTTTACAGTGTGTTCGGTGAAGCGCTTTGGGACGTCCTCCCGACGTGAAAAGCGCTATATCAAATGCAAGGATTATTATTATTATTATTATTACCTTGAAAAAGGGTCCAGGGTACAATAAGTACATACATGTGCATGTGGGTGAGGAGGTGGCTCTTTCTGTCACGTGCTCCCCTCTAACAATGGCCCCCAGCTGACCTGCCATAAACCTCCCTGACGAGTCACCTGACTCCCCCCGCGCCCCTCCCCCCCCCCTCCCTCGCCCTCAGCAGCCAATTAGACGAGCGCCACCAATGCCGAGGCGGACCTTGTCGGAGAGGACGCATCAACAGGAAGATGGCGGCCGTCGTGTAAATCGGCGGCGGGTGTCAAACCGTCTCCTGGCCCAACGTTTGGGAATTTTAACCAAAAAAAAGAAAGAGAGAGAGAGAGAAGAGAAGGGGGAGAAAAAAAAATAGCCCTGAGAACTAGTTGAGTTTTTTTTTTATTTTAAGAAATCCGGGATTTGCTGACTGTACGGGGTGTGTGGGGGCCGCCGTCTCCCTCCCTCCCTCCCTGGCTGGCGCCGCGCGGCTCCCTCTCCTCTGCCGGGGCCGCAATGACGTCCATTCACTTCGTGGTGCACCCGTTACCGGGGACCGAGGATCAGCTGAACGACAGGTGAGAAGCCGCCGCAGGCCTCAGGCTCCGGCCTAAGACCACGGCACGCCAGGCCCGCCCCAGCCGGACGGGCCGCCCGCAGGAGGTCGACGATAATCCGCCGCCGCTCTCCCCGCTGCAGGCGGCCGGCCCCGTGCAGGGCCCCGTGCAGTCGGCGCCGGGCGGAAAAGTTGCTGAGACAATGCGGCCGCGGGGTGGGCGGGTGCGGGGAGGGGGAGTGGATCGACAGCCTCGTCCTCTTTTAATGTGTTACAGTACTGGGGAGGGAGCGCGGCTCTGTGTGGCGAGTCGCCGCCTCCCCCCCTCCGCACCACCCGGTAACATGTCCCTCAGGTGGAGCGTAGGCCCCGAGGACAAAGAGTGACTTTTACTCCCGGCTTTAGCTATCGGGCTCCGCCCCGGGGGTGGGGGGGGGGGATCTCGAACACGAGCAGTTCGGTCACTCAGCAGCCGATGGGCCGGCGGTCTGTGCGGTGGTGGTGGTGGTGCTGCTGGTGGTGGTGGTGGGGGGGGGGAAGGGATCGTCCCTTTTTTTAAAAAAAACCGAGGAAGAAATCTTAATATGTAACTTGCGGTTACACGGGTCGTAATTTGGGTGAAGATGAGACTTGGGCGAGGTCGCCTGGAAGCCGGGTTCGCGGTTGGGAGATCGATGCTTCGTTAGCAAAGTACTCTGTTTACTCTTTCTTTTCTTTTCTCGCGGTGTGTCTTCTCCACCATCGAGCGTTTCCATCTGGCATATAGGCCCAATTTTTTTTTTTTTTTTTTTGGGCGAAAAAAAATGGCTTCATTGCAACTATCGGACGGGGGACGCGTGGTTATTTTTTTTGAAAAAAAATTACAGTATGTCGATGCAATAGGGAATTTGAGCCACTTGCTTTCCAATTCTCATCGGTTTTTTTTTAAAGAGCAGTTACAAAATTAGACCCGAATAGTTCCGAATATTTGATCCCGGGTGAAAGTTATGTAATTTTGGAACTGTTCAACAAAATTGTCAGGCTCGTAAAATGAGGTTTAATAACGCTTCTGTCAGATCAGAATCCGAATACATATTATTTTGTATTTATAAGATGTAATTTTGCTCTTGTGTCAAAATTATTAGGCGTCCTGGAAAGGTTAAAATGGAAGTTGAAACCAGTTTTTTTTTACTGCCTTAAGTAGAGTAATTGAATTTTTTTTTAAAAAAGGGATCTTGAAGGTATCATCCATTGCTGCTTTTTGTAATTTATAGTAAGCCTAAATTGTATGGGTTGTGTAGGTTTCATTTTTAAAAAATAAACCCTCACAACCCATAATTTTAAAAAAATTAAACCGATGAAACGAACAAAATGCTAAATATAGAGTCGAGGGAGGGTTATTTTGGTTGTAAAGTTTCATATTGCTTAACTTTTCATACATGTTTTTTAAAAATAAAAGGCTAATCTTAGCTAGGTAATATATAATGCAATTGATCTTGTTGTCTGAGTAGGGAAGGATAAAACTGGTTAATGATAACCGGTGACTTCGGGAAGTATGAATATAGAGAACAGAATCTGTCTTGGGAATGTTGTTTGCTTCATGCTAAAATAACCCATCTGACATTTGCTGTCAGTGCTTATATCAAAAGTGCCGACATTGAGGGGGAACTGTCCCTCAGTGAATCACTGCCTTCCAAATAGGAGAAAGAAAAGCTGCAATAAAGGAATGAAAGAGTGGATTCATTTTGTGATTTAGGTGCTGCAGTTCCATTAGATTTTAATACCTTACAAAGCTGCTTGGATCAAGAAAATGGAGACTCAAATTCACAGTGGTGTCTTGTAATATTTTGATAGTGAAGTCCAATATTGAAAAAAAACTGCTTTAATCTATTGCCCAATCTAAAATCATACAGACTTAAACAATTTTAAAAAGAGTGACAGCAATGTCAATTTTCTCACTGCAGCTAAGATCAAATTTAATCTTTCTAAAACATTTTTATTTGCTATGTCAGTCTAAAATAGATCAGTTTACAGAATTCAGTTATATTTTCTAGCACATTTAACAGAATTATTGGCAACAAAGGTCCTGGTATTTGAAAGGCTAAGAATATTTCTCATTTTTTTTTCCTTTTGTCCTCCATTCCACTAAGAAAATCCCTTTATTGGATAAAATTAAGTATGTGTAGTGGTCGCCAGTTAACCAAAATGTTACCAGTTGGGATTTAAATGTCTAATGTTGCTAGCTTCAGAGTGGTTTGTCACTTCATGTAGTTTAGGTGCAAAATATTTACTAAAATCAACTTCTTGATCTGAAATTTGTTGAAGACAAAATAGAGAACATAATTCTGGTTGTTTTCTTTCCATTCTTTTTTTATTGATGAGTTGTTTGCAACAAGCTACTCTTAAAACACTGAATGGAAGTATGCTTTCAACCCATCATGACTCATAGGAAATGTTCTACCTAGGATTGTGTGCTGATTGTTAAATTAAATCTATTTGTCTGCATTAAGCTATCTTTTTTAACATGTTCTTTTGATCAGGCATTGTTCTGTATGACTGCTGATATGAAATTAAAATGCTTGTTAAAAACAGCTGTTGATTTTTCTGGGCAACTGGTACACTTATAGTAGGCTTATTAATTCCATTACTCTATATCCAAATGAATGTAGTGTGTTATTGTAAGTGGTATATTTATATTTGGGATTATTTAAAATTAAACATTTTATTGAGAACCAAGATGATGAGCTAAAGCCCAAATGGAAAATACTCTCAAAATTGGAGACAGTAGGAGAAAATTGAAGTTGTTGTTTGGGATTCTTAAAGCCTATAGAGGCAGCGATTTTCTCAGTCATGAGGTCCTGGAAAGAATGAATGGGTATAGGAGAGTGTTGAGTGTCAATTTCAGCATAGCAATGATATAGGTAGGAGAAAAAGCATCCTGGATGTAAGTTGGTACAATTCAAGAAAGGGTATCGATTTTGATTGAAAAAAGATAAGACAACTGTGGCAGAGAGAGAGAGATGGCTGAGTGATTAATGGCATTTTTATGTCCTTCTGAGAGCAATACAATTGAGATTGGAAATTAGCAGCAGTGGGGATGTGGCAACCCTGAAACTGATGTAAAAATCCTTTTTTTTCCAAAAAGGGTGTTTGTTTTTGGCCTAATATAATCTTTCCTTGCACAAAAGATCAGACCAATAACACGTCAAAAATTACTTACGTTGTTTATTCTGTCCACAATTCACAAGTCAGGAATTTGGACCTGAGCAAGGGGATTGGGATCAGGAGGGATGGAGGGAAGTTATGGGTATGGGGGTGACCGAAAGTATGGTCAAAGAGGAGTGTCTTGAGACGGGCCTTGAAGGAGGGAAGGGGCTAGGCAAATAGACTGAGATGGTCATCCTGCTATATGCAATCAGATGGATTGTAAGCACCTCTGATAGCCCAGATAGCTAAAGGTACCAGTCAGTTTAGCAATACTTTTGCAGCTCTGAAGGCTATAGGTTCAAATTCTAGGCTGTGCTGAGTTAGTTAATCTAGTAGCGTGCATCGGTTGGCTTCAGTATCCATGGGCTAGACCAGAGGGTAAGATCAGCCATGGTTCCACCTTTGAAACCCATCTGGAAAATTTGTGTATGTTTGAGAACAGAATTGGGTTTGATTGTGAAGTCGAATGTAATTGAAAAGCTTGCTGATATTGTACTGGTTTACACATGACGAATGCCCAGTTATATGCTCATGGGGAGGAAATTGGATAAAGGAAAATGCCTTGTACATGGTGTAATGTTTCAAAACGAAGTTGGGAACAAATTGGTGCTTGGTAAGTAATCATGGAACATTTTGTTGTTTTAACCTACGCAGCATTGAAGCTGGTTGCATCTGTAGAGAGGGGCCTAGCATGTGTGCCACATGAGGGTCTGGATTAAGGCTTGTGGGGCTTAACCCACTCTTTGATTGCAATTTTCCATTTTTATAGGAGCAGTGAATAATATTTTGGCACAGTTAGTAGAAGCCTTGTCTCTGAGTCAGAAGGTGGTGGATTCAAGTCCCACATCAAAAATTGAGCTATTTATCTGGGCTGACACTGCCGTATATAACCGACGGAGTACATTGTTCATATCCTTCAAATCGGGCATTACACACAAATCCTGTTCTGGCGGTCCAAGATTAAAAGATTCCATGGCATTATTCGGAAGTAGATCAGGGAGTTCTGTCCCAACAACCTCCCTCATCCAGAATCGTTTAAAAAAAAACTGAAGATGGTGTCAGCCTGACTCAATTGGTAGCGCTCTCTCACACCTCTGAGTTGGAAGGGCTGAAGCCCCACGTTGGTACTTTGAATGCATATAGTCTAGGCTGACACTCCAATGCAGTGGTGTATGCTGCAATGTTAGAGGTGTGTCCTTTGGATGAGATGTTAAACCAAGATCCTGTTTACCTGTTTAGGTGGATGTTAAAGACCTCAAGGCAATATTTGAAAAGAGAAGGGAGTTTCTCTCAGTATCCTGACCAACATTCCTTCAGATAAAATTAGTAATTTGCTTCATGACTGTTTGTGTGACATTGTGTGAAAATTGGCTGCTGAACTCAACTAAAACACATAGTCACCACTTCACAGTAAAAGCGCTGTGAAGCACTTGGATGTCATCTCGGTAGGAACATAAGAATTTGCTAGGCGATAAAAGACCCAAGGTCCATCTAGTTCGCTTTCCACCATCCTGGCAGTCGCTTGACATGTTGTGCCCCACGCTATATACTGTATATAAAACCATAAGTGGAAGACGTTATATCAAATGCAAGTATATTTATATAAGAAATTGCTATTGCAGATTAAGTAGCATATTACCCCAATAACAATTTCTGCACAAAATAATTATGCGAGGTGTTCACCATATATCAAATGCCTCTCTTAATCTGATGATTTAAGATGCATATCTACCTGTAGCATAGTGATTAACGAGCTCACCTCGCAAACGAGAGGACCTGGGTTTGATTCCCAGGCGGAACCTTAAGCTCAGTGGTTAGAGCACTGGCTTTGCAAGCGAGAGACCTGAGTTCAATTCCAGGCAGGGCGAAACCTTGGGCAAGTTTCCTTACTGCACACGCCTAATAATAATCCCTCCAAAACCCCCCCAAAAATTGGTTATTTTCAATCTACAACTGTTTGTGGGACATTGCTGTGCGCAATTGGCTGCCGCGTTCGCCCACAAATATACAGTCAATTCACTTTACAGTGTGTTCTGTGAAGCGCTTTGGGACGTCATTCTGACGTGAAAAGCGCTATATCAAATGCAAGGATTATTATTATTAAGGAAGTTTCCTTACACCAATTTCCTCTTATTTACCTAGCAGTAAGTAGGAACCTGGGAGGATTGGAGTCGGGGGTGGTGGTGGGGTGAGGGGGAAAGAGCACAGCAGTCTCAGAGTCAGAGATATAAGAAGTTTGATAGAGAATAAGTAAAAGAAAGTTGTGTTAAACAAAGTTGGTGAGAGAGAGGGAGAGAATGTCTTGAGAGAAAGTCAGACAGATGGGCTGGTATATTGTAAATACAGTAAATTCTGTAAAGGATTCAGTGACGAGTTATCTGGAGTAGGGAGTATCCTTTCATTCAGACTTTCAAATTCCTCCTCCTCTGCCGCATTCTGCCTCTAATTTTCTTCACTTCTACTTCCTTTGTTAACTTGGGCTTGCTAAATGTCTGTCCCATCATTGGTAACAATCGTTCAGCCATCTTGTTCTTCCCAAATCCTTTTTCAAAACCTTTTTGAAAATCTATCTCTTTGACCTCAGCTGTGGTCATCTTCCTTCAACCCATCCCATCTTTCTCCTATCCACCCCATCTCCTACCTTATTTGGTTTGCTGCTCTGCCTCTCTAAAGCACTTCAAGATGTTTTCTTACATGAAAGGTGCAAGGTTTTAAAAAGAGTCTTCATTAAAGCGGTTGAGGATTCAATTGTGTCAGATCCATTACTATATTTTGGGATGTAACCTGTTTAAAGAATGTAAGAAAAGCATCAATTGACTGTTATTTTAGAAGCAAATTGATTCACAAAATGGTGCATTCTGCTAATGTGTTTTTGCTAGTGAGGTTTATCTGGTCATTGTTCAAGCTGAAAATCAAGATCAGTGACAACTGACAGTCTACTTGTCAATTAAGTGTGTTGTGTTTTACTTTGCTCATCATCAAATAAAATGTTAGAAATATATATAGAGGTCACTCAACATCTGGAAGGGAAAAAAAGCAGTTACTATTTACTTGTTTGCACAGAGAAAATGGGTACAACAGAAACACTTTCATGCACGTGCAGGCTAATTTCAATACTTATTCCAATCAGTTAGTTAGTGAAGAAGTGAACCAATTTTTTCCTTTTAGTTTCTTGAAAATGTTCACTCCAAATTTGGTAACTCATTTTGGGATAATAATAATTCCAACAATGTTTGCTACTTGCTTACTTGCACAGGGATATATATATATATATATATGCTTCCATTGTGAAAATAAGCTTTTGTGTTATGATTTGCATTGTGTTTTGCTGGCCATGTACACATGCATGTCACTATTTTTTAATCTACCACATGAAAATACTTATCAGGCATTTTACTACCATTAGTTTACTTGTTTCTCCAGACAAATAATTCCAGAAGTTCAGTAAAGTTCTGTGCATTATTTTGTTTTCAAGGTTACCAGAGTGGTTCATGGTAGAGACTGATCTGGCCATTTGTTAACAGTGACATTGTGCGATTGAATACATTGTTCCTTTTAGGTAAATACAGTGAGGCTAAATGTGTGCATCCGTCTTGTTGGATTGTTTGCTATCCAACTGTGGCTAATTTGTTCGATTGTATAATTTTGACTAGAAGAGAGGAGAATTTGGCTTTACCCAAACAGCAAATGGAGCAGTGTACAGAATGCCAAGTACAATGTAATTTGATAAGAACATTTCATGGGTTGCAATTTGCTTTCAGATTTTGAGGATCATCTGTAATGTATCTGTTACTAGAATACTTATTTTTATATAATCAAGTAGTTTTGTGTGTTACTTTTAGCATCATGCTTACTCCATGAAATGGAGAAATATAGATTTAACCAGGAGAGAAACGTTGGCAGGATATCTGAAATACAATACAGATTTACATTTACATAGTGCGCTTCACATTGGGAAGATGTCTGAAAGATTTTAACTACTAGCTTGTACAAGCTGAGGTGGTGTGGGAGGAGGGGAAAGATGTCCAAAGGCTCAATTAAAGAGGAGATCTTGAAACCTCTAGAATGAGATAAGGGAGCAAGTTGGAGGGACTCCGAGATGGAGTTTCAGAGTGGTGGGGGTGGGGGGGCAGAAAGACTGAAAGTTCACTCGCCAATGGTGGGATAGGTAGGTTGGTGGACATGAAGCAGGCTAGTGCCTGCTGAGAGAGGAGAGTGGCTTGGGTGTCTGATTTGGAGACCAGCTTGAATATGAGGTTTGGAAATCTTTCCATAACTGACTTCAGTTAATGAGACCTTAACATATTAGATCCCTGATTAGAAAGTATGTCACTCATTCAATTATCATTCCTGTAACACAACATAGTCTAGTTGCAGTGCTATCACTTGCCTTATTTAACATATTGTGTCAGTGCACTATAGTAAATGTCATGCTTAAGACAATTCTTATGTGATACTCATAATATCTTAGATTTCCTCGGTTGTAGGATTTCACCCATGTTATATAGCTCAAAATCTAGCTCAGTTGGTAGCTCTCTCCCCTCTGAGTTATCTTGTCTGACACTCAATGCAATGCTGGAAGTATGTGGTTTTTCATGGCTGTTTGTGGGACATTGCTGTACACACGCCGGCTGCACCCTTCACCCACAATACACACAGTAACTCCACTTTATAGTATATTCTGTGAAGCCCTCCTGACATGCAAGGCTCTACCCAAAATGTAAGGATGATCGTTATTAATTAAATTGATATCCTGTTTGCTGGTTCAGGTGGATGATATATATCCCATGGCACTATTTAGTAATGATAATAATCCTTGCATTTGATATAGCGCTTTTCATGTCTTCTGGATGTCTCAAAGCGCTTCACAGAATAGACTGTAAAGTGAATTGACTGTATATTTGTGGGTGAAATGTAGCAGCCAATTGCACACAGCAGTATCCGACAAACAGTCGTGGATTGAAGTGACCAATTTATTATTTTTTTCTTGAGAATTATTATCTGAAAAGAGAAGGGAGTTTCTCCTGATAGCCTGGCCAAAAGGCGCTATACCAAATGTATGGATTGCTTTTATTAAGTTTATTAGAATAATGGAGTTTTCAGTACAGTGCAGACTGTGCTTCATTACAGTACGGATTTGCTTACTGTGAATGCATGTGTACCTCATTCTGCTCTTGGCCTGCTTGGTTCCCCGTGTTGGCAGGTTCCTGCATTAAAAGTAGCCAACTTTTGGGTCCTTTCCTGTATACTGTGCATGTGGTGCATGCAAAGTGACACAAAAATGGGCACTTGTTTAGTGGAGGAAATGGGTGGCATGTGGGAACTAAGCCATTCAGCTGTATACATGTTGGAGGGTTGGAATTTATGGATTCCAAACCCCTTGTTCTAATGAGGCAGAACTGTAGTTCAAATGAACAAACTGTGGTTGAAACTGTTACAATCCAACACGTAAATTACTGTATATTGAAATGATGGTAACACCACTGAATTTTGAGACTTGATTACAGCAGATGATTGATAGTGTTGTAACCTACTAAGTAATAAATAATTGTATTTATTTAACGCCTATGATGTCTATCCTTCACAGGTAATTGCTGTCCTGTGCAGTGTAGGTAACAAAGTGAATTAGCAGTTTACATAGATGGTTGCTAACTAAGAAACTTCTCCCTTTGAATATTGTTATAGAATCTTTAAAATCCACCTGAACAAACAGGATGATGAATACATCTGTGAATACAGCACCACTTGGGAAAGAAGTACACTGGAGAAACGCTTTCTATGAACTATAGGCTAGGTTGCCTTTAAACCAGTGGCGTCCAACCTTTATGGTCAGCCAATAAAATTTAAAATATTTCTTGATTTATACCCCAAATTTATGGTGGACAGAAACTCAAAAAACCTACAGTTGTGTTTAGGAAGAAGGAGGTGATCATGGGTCAAGCTGGTTTTTTCTTGCTACATTTTAGGCTGATGTGCTTATACTGCACAGCATATGTGCTTTTTACTTGTAGTTCAGGGATCCAAATTGCTAATTGGGGAAAGGATCTGACTCCACAGTCCTATTGGAAAAGTTCTGACTAAAATGATCTTCCAATGGGATTTTAGAATCTAGGCACATGCTGTATCTGAAAACTTAATGGGATGTTTTGTGCAGTTCAGTTAAAGTAATGATAATATACAAAATTAATCCCATGCCTAAAACTGCTCTAATACTAATGTACACCTTTGTATATCTGCAAATTAAAGATTTATTTTGTAACTTAGCAGCCTCAAGTGCTCAAGTTCAAATACTGTAATGAGGTTTCTTTATAATGGGTTGATGAGTACAGATGAATTCATAAAGTAACAACTGTACTGGAAGTAACAAACTAAGGGATTTAGAATGTGAAATGAAAGTGCTTGTGTATGCTTTGTGTAGTCGCATCAGTAATCCTGTTCTGGTATTTAAGAGATGCAACATTGCAAACACTAATTAGAAGTTCAGCTTTGCAGTCAATGGAGAATAGAAGAAATATTGTTAAACTGATTAGTTAGGGTGTTCTGTGCAGTGTGGAACTTCAGTCAGGGAAAACTATCAAATGTTACGTTGCTGGTGTTGCACATTTTGTACTGAAGTTAGAGCTGCAAAATATTTCTAGGGATAGAAAGGTGGAAGCTCATGAGAGAGAACAAAAGAAAATGAAGAATGGAGAGCACGCACTGAGCAACAGGATTGCATTTGTGAATTTTCTGTTTCACAACTGACTTTTTCTTTGCAGATTACGGGAAGTATCAGAAAAACTCAACAAATTCAACTTAAGCAGGTATTGTGACTATTTGTCATTTTTAATATTTTCTCACTGTGGTGAGTTTGGCTTCCTGTAAAGTGATTTTAAAATTGTAAGCATCTATTTCATATTTACTCAATAGAATAACATGCTTGTGTAGCATTTCAGATTGAAATAGATATGCAACATGCAGGAATCCAAACAGTTCACAGGGAAAAGGATCTCGTATACCAAATGAGAGAATTTTTTTTCATTGGGTGAAAAATGCCTTTCTGCATTTTGGATTGCTTACAACAATTGGCAAATGAGGTGCTATTTTTCTATCTTAGTAGAATGGATTCCTCTTTATTGAGATTTGACGTGAGCTGTGTTTTGGGATTTCGGCTTAAGGTATTTTGCTGTGTAAGGAATAAGGATACTACTGCCTTACATAAGGTGCTCGGTGCTTTGATAGACATTGTTTGCAACCAGTCAGTCAGTCATGAACAGACTGCAAACAGATGCCACAAAAACTCACTGTTCTTTTTCCTCTTTCCTTCCTAACTTTCTCCAATTACAAGTGTGTAAGTCTCAAATGGAGTAGGCATTGCATGCACCCATTTGCTCATACCTGGCTGTGTTTTTCAGGAGTCATGTGATGCAGTTGCAGGTGTGACGGTTCCCCAATATGGCACATATCAACAATAATCCTTACATTTGATATAGCTTCTTGGATTGGGAGTACATCTCTAAGCACTTGACAGGATGTACTATAAAGTATAATGAGATTAGAATTGAAATTTGTTGCAGGAATAAGATTTTAAATGTTTTATCTAATTTGTAACTTCAGTTAATGGGACCAGATGCATTAGGAAATGTGTTCCCTTCTATTTTAAAGAGTAACCCCTTGAGGAATTAGCACTTGATGCAATAACAATTTTAAAGGAAATATCTGTTTTCTTATTGATCTGCATTGGCAAACTGTTAAATAAAGTAATTTTATACCAAAGGTATAATGTTGTACGTAATGTTCGATGTAGTCTTAATTATTGCCACCATTTAATTTACTCTTTCACTTTTTTTGTGGAGTGTTCATTGGAAATTCAGATTGTTCAATTGGGAGTGACTGATGCAATAGTGTCTTGGAATGGTTTGACCATGATTTATTTAAATTGCTTCATATGACTAATTGAAAGTAATTACCAGAATTTTGAGATATGGCCCTTATGGTGGCTGTATTCTAATTATATGAAATAAAATGCACCTCTGTGTGAAAATCGTTTATATTGAAAAGTGGTATGCTTTGTGATCAGAGCTTCTTCTCAGTACAATGCTGGTTCATTTTTTAAAAATCTAAGTGGAACCATCATATGCTCCATTGGTGCTTTTGTTCAGAAGATTTTTAAGAGGTAATATTAGTATAATTGTGTGTTTCATTTTCTTTGAAAGAGTAGGCACTGTGCATGCTGAGTAAAGATGGTGCTAGGTTGAGTAACAGCAATCCCAGCTATGCTTTAATGATCTTAGGTCAAAAGGGCAAAAGACTGGAATGTGCTGAGAATTTATGTAGTCCTCATCTGTTGGGAACAAGTGAAATATATTTGGGATAGGATTCTGAGTTGGATAGCTGGATTATTTCTTTACAAATGGGTTAAGTGAAATTTAATTTTCAGCTTTTCATAGTCTGTTTCAACACACAACTGATCCATCTGTAGCAAAATGTGAACTGGAAGGATCTGTTTTTGTTTACATCACTGAGTCAACTCTTCTCAGTATTAAGTGGGGATGGGAGTAACTTGGTCTACAAAGAGATCATTACTGACTTGTATTTTATAACCACTGTTTTAGCACCCATGTTTTTTGACTAGTTTTTTAGGGGACTTTGGTGGAAGAAGGAAAGGAAATAGTTCATATTAAAATATGGTTGTGTTTAGGTGATTGGTAATGTTAATGGTTTGAGGAATGTGGACTGGATCCTTCAATGGTGTTCATATTTCACAAAGAGTAAGGATAATTTTTTGTGGGCAGCTGAGTTTCTGACCCAATGGAAACCTATTACCATGTTTAAGAGTATCCAAGCCAGACTCTGTTCCACATGTGCATGAAAATTCTCTTTCTCTGCAATGAAGTGTATACTCTCTCTCCCCCCCCCCCCCCCCCGAGAGATTCTGTTACTTTCTTAATCCTAACACAGGTTGGCTTGGGAACCCCAGAGTGTTGTGGTACTGCTGGAGTTATCCAACCAACATAGTTCAGCTTGCGATTTTGAATACTGACTGACAAACGTCCTGCTGCTTGTCCAGCTAAGGCCACTCGACCCTGAAAGCCAAAGCTATAATGGGTAATCAGGAGCTAAGTGCTCCTGGGATGCTACCCATGTGAAGGGCGCTACATAAATGCAAGTTGTTGTTGTTGAGTGCAGTTTTTTCCTCCCAAGTTCCATTGATTAGCCAAACTGGTAGATCAACAGCGGTACAGGAATCAGATTAATGAAACTGCCACAGAGGACTGATTCGATTCCATTATTCGATTGCCTGGCATTTCACCTTGGAACCAGCTAAGCCCCAATGAAACTCTGCTTATCTTCTCTCTCCTTACAATGTAACTTTCCTTCAATATTGAAGTGGCAGCCTAGACTTTGAGCTCAGATTCCTGTTGTGGGTCTTGAACCCACAGCCTTATGACTAAGAGGCTGATCAACTGAGCCAGACTGACACCAGCAATGCCTTTCTGGTGTCAGGATTTGTTTACACATGCCTCTGCGATGGCTATAGTTGGTTTTATGTGTTTAGAAACCTTGATTGATGCTTATTGCATTAGAAGGATACCATGACATTAACTAACTGCAAAGTTTAATTTGTAGGTTTTAATTTGAGGGGAATTATTTCAACATTTTTATTTAGCGATTTTTTTTAATGGGTTGGCGGGGAAGAGAAAGGTGTAGTGTACATCATGTTTTATCTACTGTAGTTAAATATACAATGCTTACAGTAGAATTGTATCCAGTTGCAAATCAAAACCAGTGGTGTTATCAACAGAAACTACTCATTACCCGTTAATGTTGAAATCTAAGCTTGAAATTATTGTGCTTTGATAATAATAGACATCTCAAAGCGCTTCACAGAATATATTGTTAAGTGAATTGACTGTATATTTGTGGGCGAAATGCGGCAGCCAATTGCGCACAGCAGTGTCCCACAAACAGTGGTGGATTGAAGTGACCAATTTATTATTGTTCTTTTTCTTGAGAGATTATTATTAGGCGTGTGGCGTAAGGAAACTTGCCCAAGGTTTTGCCCTGCCGGGAATCAAACCCATTTTTGTAATACAAGTGCAAAAAATACAAAGTTACATTTGTAAAGGGCCTTTTACGTCGGGAATACGTCCAAAGGCACTGGACAGTCAGAAATTTGGATGGGGTGGGTGGAGATTGGTATCAGGGAGGGTAGGAGGATGGCCGAAGGTGCGGTCGAAGAAAAGGGTCTTGGGAAATGCCTTGAAGGAGGCAAGGGAGGGAGCAAGGCAAAGGGAATATGGGGTGGAGTTCCAAAGGGTGGTGGTGGGGGTAAGTAGCACCTTCCCTGAGAGTGATTTTTCCCATTTGAAGAATTTTCTGAAGCTGTTGTGATAGGTTGCAGTGCATGAAGTTAACTTCCGTCTGGAATGTTTTTGAAGGCTGGTTTTACTTGGGCGTACTTTGTACAGAACTTCAAATCATGATTGAAATCCTGGTGAATTGTGGGTCCACAGGAGATGCATCTTGGAAACCTCTCGTGAGGAGCTTTTATAGTAATGATCCTTGGATTTAGTATTGTAAAGTGGAGTCGCAGTATATTTGTAGTCGAACATGGCAGCCCAATATACTTGCTCAATATAAATATGTTGAGGTTTAACTTCTGTCGTGGTTCTTAAAAAAGAAAAAAAATTCCAACCAGCACTCCATAACGATTTTCTGCAATTATCTGCTTACTTTGCATTTTTTTCTTGCCCCTCTACTATTTTAAACCAACCATGATTGCTTTAATGATCTTATAGATGCGTTTCTAGGTTCCAGCTTCTGTTGCAACCTTTTTTTATTTTTTATTGTTTAATGATCATCACCCCTACTGTCCTCTGAACCTTCCTTTCTTGACCCTTCATAGCTGCAAGCACACTAACCTACATGCATATGGAATTAAGTTAGGTGGCTTCATTGGATAAGCAAACAGTGACACTAAAAATTAGCTAAATGGCTGCGTTTTTTTATTTTTCTCCTCTTCATCTTAATTATTGTATTGATATATAATGCCTTTCACATTGGGCAGACCTCTCAAAACACTTCACAAGATTTACTTTGAAGTTGTAGTGACCATCTCTGTACAAGAATGTAGCATCCTGATACAGGGAAAAACTCCCCTCTTCTCTTTAACATCCACCTGAAGCTGGTGAGACCTTGGTTCATCCGAAGGAAGGCACATCTGAAAATGTAGTGCATCCATGACACTGCCTTAATGTCAACCTAGAGTACGTGGGTACCAAGTTCTGACGTGGGCTTGAACCCACAATCTTCTGACCCAGAGGCAAGAGTACTACCACTTATTCAGGCTGATACCGATTGAGACTCACTGCATATGCGTAGGTTACAAAGACGGTGCTTGGGACCCTAAATTGAGCTTTGGGGCAATGCTGGAGTTTAACCAGCTAAACAATGCAGTTTACTATTGGGGGCATTGGTATGTCTTCTGTCTCTTGTCGAGTTAGATATGTCTTAATTGTTAGGACTTTGGCTTGGAAAGTTAAAATGAGCTGGGTGAGAAGAATCTCTACCTCGGCATTTAAATCCCCAAATTTAGCTGCGCACAAGCTCCCAGGAACAGTAGTTTCCTTGCAGCAACTATAATCCAAGGTAAAGTATGTTTATTCATCAGTTAGATGCAGGCTAGGATTTCGATAAAATCAACTTGGAGTCAGAGAGTCAAAGAGATAGAAAATTGGAGAAAAAATGAATGATCAAGGACAATTTGATACTATAGTGAGTCCAATTCTTAATGGTGTGAGTCTGCACATGGTTGGGAATGGTGGTGGTGGGGGGAGAGACAAGGGTTTGCCTGTGTTGTATGTACAGAGGAAGGGCGGAAAGAGGGGTTTGCCTGTGGTGGGTGAGTAGAGGTTCACCTGTGATGTGCGCGGGCAGGAAAGGGAAGAGACAATCTCGAGTGCGCATGTGGTGTGGCTGAGATGGTGGGGGGGATAATCATTGATGGATAATGTCGGGCTCTGTCCTCATATTCTCTCCCTTCCCCCATCCCGATCCTGGTCCTAATTTCTCTCCCCTCCTCTTGTTCCCTCCCCTTTATCGTTGGACTCTTCTCTTTCTCTCCACCCCTCTTCTTGTCATGTTCTCTCCCTCCCCTGTTCTCGTTGTGTTCTCTTCACCACAACAACCACACAATTACATTTATAGAGCGCCTCTCACATCAGGAAGCGAAGGGTTACTGTGGGATGGAGTTCCAGAGTGTGGGGCAGAGAGGCTGAAAGCCCGGCCATTGATGGTGGGAGACATAGAGCAGGTCGGAGCCCGCTGAATGGAGGGAATGGGCAGGTTGGTAGGGAGTCAGCAGGTCAAAGAGACAGGACGAGAATCTTGAATTCGATCCTCTGAGGAATGGGGAGCCAGTGGAGTTGGGCGAGGGTGGGAGTGATGGGGTCATGGACCTGTTGTGTGAGACTAAATGAGCTGCAGAGTTGTGGATGGTCTGCAGCTTGTGAAGGGAAGAGTTGGGAAGGCCGATGAGGAAGAGTTTCCATAATCGAGCCTTGATGTGACGAATGTGTGGGTGAGGGTTTCGGCAGCCTGAGCCTCCCCTCCCCCGGCATATTCTCTATCTATCCCTCATTTCTCTACCATATTTCTTTCTTTCTCACTTCCTTCATGACTCTTTTCCCCTCCCCGCCCACCCTATGTTTTTAATCTATTCTTTTGTCTCTCTTGCTCTCTTTTTAATCTCTCTTTCTCTCTCTTTCTGCCTCTAAAATAAGAGAAAGTTTTTCTGGCTGCCAGAAGAATCAACTAATGGATTTTTGAAGGCTTCAGTGTAGGTCTCCAAGGTCTACGCCAAAGAGGATTCAAGTTGCTTGAGGAACAAGGATGACAATATTTACACATGTTTTACATTTGAGTAACTTAATTTTCTCTTTTTTTTCCCAGTCATCCACCTCTGAATGTTTTGGAGCAAGCTACAATTAAGCAGTGTGTGGTGGGACCAAACCATGCAGCGTTTCTCCTAGAGGTAGTGTATTTGCATTCAGAACTTATTAACTTTATATGCTGCATATAAATTATCAGTGTCTACTTTGAAATAATATTGAAGTGACTTTTTCAGGGAAATGATATGAAATGTTTGAATGAGCTATTTTAAGAATCTGATATAGAATAAATATATGTAACCAATAAAGAGCTCTCCCAATGTACTTTCAGTTTTAATCGGTCCTACTCCACTGTCTCCCTATCCTGGTGGATCAACTTTAAAATTACCTTCTGCTTCTTTCAGTTGCCTCCACAACCTTGCCCCACTCCTTCTCTGCTCCCTCAGCTAATACCTGTCCCCTCCATTCTACTGTTGGGAGGTGGCTTTGCCCCTGCTCTCTGAAATTGTCTTCCAGAGTGAGCAGACTAGTTTTGTGCTGTTATCCAGTGTCTTGTATTGTGATTTTATGAATCCTAACCATCACATTATATGAGACTCCACTGTAGTTTGCATTCATGATATCATATTTATTCTATTTTAACTATCTTTGGCCACTTTAGGGTTAAACCTTTTACTATTAGAATTGTCAAAGAACTTTTTATCATGATCTTTTTCATCTGCTTCTGTTGTCACTTTCCGGTGCCACTTTCTGTATTCAGACTGTTAGCCACCCCAAATAAACTTTTGAATTTTTTTTTATTCTCCCTTTTTATTTCTTATTGATCTATTTTGGGGTGTTTTTGTTCAATTTACTCGCGTTGCATTTGTCCTGCATGCTCTTAATTTTTTTGAAGAATGTTCCTTTGTCTTCCAACTGATTTTTTTCTTGAGTAATGTCTCCCAATCTGTCACTCTCTGTGTCTGTGTGCGTGTATGTCTCTATCTGGGTCCAAGTGTGCGCATGTATCTTTCTCTCTGGGTCTGTGCGCTCTCTTTCGCTCTCTCACTCTTTCTCCGTCTGGGTCCAAGTGCGCGTGTGCGTCTCTCTCTCTCTCTGGGTCTGAGTGCTCTCTCTGTGTCTCTGTGCGTGTGTGCTTCTCTCTCTTTCTGGGACTGAGTGCGCGCGTGCATCTTTCTCTCTCTCTCTCTCTCTCTGGGTCTAAGCGCACGCATGCGAGTCTCTCTTTCTCTGGTCCGCGTTCGCATTTCTCTCTCTCTCTCTGGATCCGCGCGCATACATGTCTCTCTCTCTCTGGGTCTGCGCGCATGCATGTCTCTCTCTCTCTGGATCCACGTTTGTGTGTGTCTCTCCCTCTCTCTGGGTCTGAGAGCCCGTGTGCGTGTCTCCCTCTGTCTGGGCCCGAGAGCGCGTGTGCGTGCCTCCCGCTGTCTGGGCCCGAGAGCGCGCGTGCGTGCCTCCCGCTGTCTGGGTCCGAGAGCCCGTGTGCGTGTCTCCCTCTGTCTGGGTCCGAGAGCCCGTGTGCGTGTCTCCCTCTGTCTGGGTCCGAGAGCGCGCGTGCGAGTCTCCCTCTGTCTGGGCCCCAGAGCACGAGTGCGAGTCTCCCTCTGTCTGGGTCCGAGTGCGTGCGTGCCTCCCTCTGTCTGGGTCTGAGAGCCCGTGTGCGTGTCTCCCTCTGTCTGGGTCCGAGAGCGCGCGTGCGAGTCTCCCTCTGTCTGGGCCCCAGAGCACGAGTGCGTGTCTCCCTCTGTCTGGGTCTGAGAGCCCGTGTGCGTGTCTCCCTCTGTCTGGGTCCGAGAGCGCGCGTGCGAGTCTCCCTCTGTCTGGGCCCCAGAGCACGAGTGCGTGTCTCCCTCTGTCTGGGTCCGAGTGCGTGCGTGCCTCCCTCTGTCTGGGTCTGAGAGGGCACAAGTGTGTCTCCCACTGTGTGTGAGTGTGCGCGTCTCTGTGTCTGTGAGCTTGTCTGTGAGTGAGTGTGCATGTGTCTGTCTGTGAGCGTGCGCGCCTCCGCCTGTGAGCGCCTCTGCGTGTGTGTGCACGTGTGTTCGTGCTCGTCTGTGTGCCTCTCTGTGTCTGAGTGCGTTTGTGTGAGTGTGTCTCTCTGTCTGTGAGTACAGGTGTGTGTTTGTATGTGTGTCTCTCTGAATCTGAGTGTGTGTGTCTCTCTCTCTGTGAGTCTATGCGCTGCCAGCTCTGAGAGATGGGGAGTGGTGAGCTCCTGTCGCCTCGCTGATGGCTCCTTACTCTGTTTATGTTAAAGACGCAATTAATTTTTTTACAAGTCTAATATTTTATGTTTAGTTTTTATCAATAAAGTGAAAAAAATTAGCAGTAAAATGTACCTCAATAGCACACAGATTGCAATTTTTTTGCAAATATGTCCGCGCTTTTCTATTGGCTCAGGTCATGGCCACTGAGTGATCACAACTACCCTCTGAATCGGGTCTGGGTCACTCATGAGAACTAAGTCGGGTATTTTCCTGAGCTTATTATCTACAATTTCGTCCCCGTTCACCCCCCCAAATCAACTTGAAATGAATCCCAATGTTTTTATTTTTTGCGCCAGTTTAGTTTCCTATTTAGTTCATGTAACTATCCTTCCTATAAATGATTTATCTACTTAAACTCCCTGAGCTATCTTCAAACTCAATGTTCTTCTGCACACACAATGTTCCTACTCAGTAATTCAAGCTCATTCTTTTCATATTCCCAGATAATACAGAGAGCAAAGCAGACACCATCACCTTTATATCCCTTTCTTTCTCATTTTAAAAGGTCTACACGCAATTGGGCTGTCTACCAAAAACATTACATAGTCCCAAGAACATTAAATAGCAAACAACTGATCAGTACAAATAGTCTCAGGGTTAGTTTATAGCAGGACCTTAAAGGATAAAATATTTCATTCACTTGATTGAATTTTTAGGTGTAAATCATCAATTTTCTGACTTTTGTTTTGACTTGGAGACTTGCAAAATACATACGTTATGATAGCAAACAGTAAGGATTGAGGGGCATTCTCCAGGTTATTCACTTGCAGAAATGGGCAACCCGTTTATAACAAAAGGTTTCCCTTCCACCTTTATATCTAAGTACTTAGTAATTTTACCAAACCATTTTTCACGATGTGTTGCTATAAATCAGTTAGATTTTTTTTGTAATTTGTTATTTGAAATAATATATAACTTAAAGTTGGCTATTGCTGGACTTTCACTTTTACAAATTCTTCTGTTGCTCCTCTTAGGATGGTCGTATATGTAGAATTAGTTTTGCTGTTCAACCAGACAGGCTAGAGTTGGGAAAACCTGACACCACTGATGGGTAAGGATCCAACTCTGCTCATCATATTAATTACTTTGAACATTTGGATATTTTTAGTTTAGCAGTGTGTGTGTGTATATATATTATAATATATATTGTGTGTGTATATATATATATGTACATACTGCTAAACTATGTGTGTGTATGTATATATATATATAATCATTTTGTATCGCATATAGGTAACAAACTAAATGTTTTTTGAGGTACATAAATAATTGTGTATGTAAGTGTTGTAGACAAGCAAACATCTTATTATCTATTAACATTCTGCTGCTGAACACAAATTTTTATAAGACTACCAAATATTTAAGTTTTTCAAGTGCCTTTTTTTCTGCCAGAAAATGGCTTAAGCATGTGGGTAATGTGCCTGATTTGTACTCCTAAAAGACGTGCGACTACAGCAATTGGGCATGAGAAGCCTAAATTTAAATTTTCCACACTGAATTGCTCCCGCTGAAGAGGACTCTGTATATGTGTAACCAAGCATATGTGCAGAGTTTCACTAATTGGCCCCGATCCTGGTTAGTTTGTTTAAAATATTGAGAAGTTGGGAGTTTGACCTAATGTCTAAATGACAGCAAAATTATTTCCTTAAAAGTTCTTTGTTGGTTGAATTGAAGCTGAATTTATACTCAGTACCTGCATTTGTACTGCAGTAATCAGCATCCTGGCAAAACTACATTCTCAAGGTTGTTTCAGCAGTCGCACATAATGTGTGCTCAAACTTGATTTATGAGAATTTTTGTGTTGATTCAGCAAAACAGACTAGGTTAAACATTACTGTGTCCTTCCAACTAACTAGTTGGAGTAACTTCTCTTGGAGCACATCCGAAATTGTATTTGTACTTTTGGAATCTTATTTCAAATCATATTTGAAATGGCTATTTTTTAAAATTTACACTTACACTTACAGTGGAAATGAACGTTATGTTAACAGCAGCAAGCCACCGTTAGCAGTTTTCTAGAATTTAAAGTGTAGCTACCTTGAGGTTCTCAAACCAAACAGATATTGATCTTTTATGTTTTGACACTCATAAGTCCACTTTATGCCTGTTTAAAATAGTGCCTTAGTTTTCAAACTTTTAACTTTAAAGGGAAAATAGTCTGCAAGGTTGAGCTCAGCTGGGGAATGTGTGGCAAAAATCCCAAGGCAATTTAGAAATGACTTTAGAAACCTCCACTTACAATGGGAATCATAGTTAAAACAACATGTTAACAGCAGGACACCACAAGCAGTTTTCTGAAATTTATAGTACAGTTACTTTGAGTTTTTTTTAAAATAAACATTGATCTTCGTTGAGTTGACACTCATGTATCCAAGTTATGTTTGTTTAAAATATTAGGTTAGCATGGTCAGTTTTTTCAAATAGTTCGGTTTAATAAATGGAAATAGGGTGCAGTATTGGGCTCAGTTCAACAGAGAGATGGAACAAACATTTTTAAAGGCAAAAGTACACACAGTATGTTTAAAATCTGTTAATATATTTTTTTATTGAGCACTGGTAACAAAAAACATAGTGAGTATGTACTGCAGTATTAAATGCTAGAAATTGCCCAAGGGTGTTGTTCTGGGTGGTCTTTTACCAGCTGCAGCAAATGCAAAGTCCCTAAGCTGCAGGATGCCTGTATTGTAACCCATCTCCCATCTTTATTTCCAGTTCAAAGTTGAGCAGTGGTTCAGGGACAGGAAGGACTTCCAGGCCAGGCAGGAGTAGTGATTCCCCATGGTTTCTGTCTGGTTCTGATACTCTGGGCAGACTGGCAGGCAACCCCCTTGGGTAAGTTTTGGCAGGGTTCCAGGTCAACGTGACCTACAGTACAACCCATGTCCCAAAGAAATGTGATTCGTTAGGGTGTTTTATGGTAACTATTACCACAACACTAAACATTGTTTTGAAAACCACTTGCTGTAAATTTTAAGCTATTTAGAGCGCATGGCATTGATTCATTCAAGACATGTGATTTATCATCCTTACGATTGAGTTGTCTGTTTTTTCTTTGTGCTGGCTTTCAGTTAGGTTGCTAAAAGTAGCTGGCTTGCATTTTTTGATGATGTTGAAGTGTTTATAAATCAGCTGGAGAGGTACAGTGACAGTTTGCTGCTTGCACGAGCAAACTGCAATTTCTGAATGGGGATCTTGGTGACTGCTTATCTAACACTGCCACTCATTTTAAAGATTGCTTTATCCTGTTCATTTGCTTACAGTTGAGACTTGAGGTGTTGAATATTTACTGTGCACCCGACTTCAAAATAAGGCTGAATGCTTACGAAAGTCAAACTAAGTTGTATATTGTAGCTTTCAAATTGCTTATTAGAAATAATGGGTATACTTGTGTGATGCAGTACAGTGGAAATTTAGGTCAGCAAATGTACTGAGGGTTTGACCGTATTAACCAGTGAGTTTCTATTCCTGTGAGTTTGCAAAAAACTTAACACATTAGTGGAATATCCTAATGGTGAGTTTTCACTGTACTATGTGGACATTTCTATCATCAAATTTTTAAATCTAGTTACTGTTATGGAGGATAGAAATTATAAACTCTAGTCTGAGATTGCACAGGTAATTACAATTTTGTTGAGGTACTTTATTTGGCAGAGACGAGAGAGGTTTATTCTACATTTAACAATACCACACTAGATTTCCAACCTTGCAACTTAGAGAGACTGGAAGTACCATATATCACTAGGTTATGTACTGATTTCACTCGGTGACCATTATTCAGTAAATTAATTGTCTGTTGAGACATCTCGAAGACTCGATAAAGCAAATGCAAGGATTATTATTATTTCCAATTCATCATTCCATTTTCCTTATTCAGGTGGAGTTTAAGTATTTTAAAAGAAGGTCACTTCTAGTTATTTTGGTACATATTCCCTCTTCGTTGAAATTTGACGCCACATTGAAATTTATTGGCTACCTATTCCACCTATTTAAGGGACCTTCCAATAGCATTAACTACTGTGCTTGCATATTATAAGAAGCACTTTCATTTCTAATCAATTTTTATTTAGTCGAGCATTTTGAAACATTTATGTGAAATATGCTATATAAATGCTGTTTTCAATATGATGAGCTCTATTGGGATAAGCTTCAAGTGAGAGACACAGAAATAATGCTGATAAATTAGGTCGCTGCAATACTTAGCGAATCCAATGCTTAGTGAACCAAATGACAACTATGGTATTCTATATTGCGAATTGGCTCAAGTTAGATGAAGTACTTATGTAGCAAGTAGGCATCTTTATGCTATGAACAATGATAATTAAATGAAAATTAAAGAAATTAGCAACAAACTAGATAGAATTGCCTAATTATGTGGCTCGTTTGGGGAATAGTTTCCTGAGTATATTTTTAATAGTGTCTTCCTAAGAAACTGCTGTTGTATTTTAATTAATTCAGCACTGATACCGTCTCTTGTGACTAGAGGAAGGGCCTGTTAGGTAGGTGAAAGGTTTATTCAGGACAGTGTAACTAAACCACAAAACCGACTACACAGACAAAAAGGCCTAGAGCTCAATGTGCTACCAGGCTTTTTACTGTTTGTTGGAGGCTGAAGTAACTTCTCGATTGGAGGCACAACTAATGGGTATACCCATTGTTGATTACCCATTAACCCATTTTTAGTCAGGAAAGGCAAAGGGATTAGAATGCATGTGTTGGTTGAATGATTTGCTTACACATAATTGCTACATTTTACATTACATTCTTCATGAAGCACTTTGAGACGGTTCAAAGTGATAAGCCTCTATATCAAATGTAAAGATTATTATGTCAGTAGATCACTTGTCAAGACCATGAAGAATTTTAAATTCAGATGTCAAGTTTGAATTTAACCCCTACTAATTGAAATATGATGGGAGCTTTATTGTCTTTTTTTTAATTTCTGAGCTGTCTTGCTCATTTTCTTTGTGAATCTATCGTTTGTGGTACAAATGTATTGATTCAGCTAATTCAGACTTTCTGAATTTCACACTCAGGAGTCGGTGGAGTTCTGGAGTGAGTGGTGGGGCATCAGGACGATCATCAACCGGAGCGAGAGATTCAAGAAGACAGACCAGAGTCATTCGAACTGGTCGTGATCGAGGATCCGGACTGTTGGGAAGCCAGCCACAGCCTGTTATTCCAGCGTCAGTCATTCCAGAGGAACTTATATCTCAGGTAATTGAATCTACTTAATGCATCTGTTAGGAAGTTCTCAGTGGTATCAATTGTGCCCTATATAAGGACTTCATCCATCGGAGAAGGTAAAGCCTGGAATGATTGTATTCTTAAACTATATTGAGCGGGAACATAAATAGGGATGATGGTGTGAGGTTGTTGAATCTCTGGTAATGATTGAAGACTTGTAAGAGAGAGACTTGAAAGAGAAATAGCCAAACAAATCATGCTGAACTACAAATTCCACAGGTATATACTGTTGGATATTGAGCTTTAGGTAATCTATAAGCCCAAGTATTGAACTTTAGACAGAGCGACAATAAGTTGCCCTATCTTATGAATTCTGTTTCTGTTAATATATTTCTATAACTAATATCCTTTCTGTATTTAAATTAAATTTCCACAGTATTCTACATTTCATCTTTTCTCTTGTAAAATAGGCACAAGTGGTATTGCAAGGCAAGTCTAGAAGTGTTATTATCCGAGAACTACAACGTACTAACTTGGATGTCAATCTTGCTGTAAACAACTTACTTAGTCGGGATGATGAAGATGGAGATGATGGTGATGACACAGCAAGTGAATCCTATTTGCCCGGAGGTTTGTGAGCTTGATATTGGGATTTCGGATATCAACTTCCACTCTTTTATTCCCAAGGATAAACAGCAGACCTAACATTCTGTTATGTGAACATATAAGCAGTAGGCATACTTTGAAGAAGAAACCATCAATTGACAAATTGTGTACAATGGCGAGCTTCCAAATTTTTTCAAAATGTTCAAAATATGTATGATATCTTAAATGTGACTACATAAGTTTCCTTTCAGAACATCAGATTTTATATTGGATTAATCATCATTGGGTGAATATTGATTTAATAATACCAACCTGCAAGTATCAATACCACTAGTTCATTTTTTTCAGTTGATCTTGCTATTTTGGTTTTGAGTCCACCCATAGCATAGAGACAGCCCTAGATCAAGTCTCCAAGACACCTCATCAAACTATGATCACGGCACTTTATACCATCTCAACTCCATTCCTGCCTTTGACATTAACGACTATTTTGTTCTTAGTCTTAGTTCTTGGTCCGCCCAACGTGAAAGGCGCTTTACAAATCTAATATTGTTGTTTATCACCCACCTCTCGGTTTTATTTCTATGTCTTCCAAAGTCTTCACCACGTTATCTTCCCTGCATGGTCACCGGTAGTGCACCAAGGCTCTATTTTTTAAAAATCTGCATGTTTCCTTGATGACACTTTTGTAGGAGGGAGTGCAGGTTACATATGAACAACCTTTACTTTGCTTCTGCCTCGATTCATTGCTTTTCTGACTGTCCGACATCAAGTTCAGGATGAGCTTCTTCAGCTGAGCATCAACAAAACAAGCTATCTTAATAGCACTCTCTGGCTCTGACACCCTGGCTGCTTGCTCTAACTATCAGAACTATTATGTGATCGTGAAACTTTATTTAAAGTAAATCCCACTCCTATTTAAAGTCTTGCATCAGCTTTCTTGACCAACATTACTTCAGTTTCTGGATCTTTGGCCCCTTACATCCAAATCTTACTCCTCTGCAGCTGAAACCCTCACCGATGTCACCTCAAGGCTAGAATTCTCCAGTGCTCACATTCTTGGTCACCCTATTCTTTCCTGCACCAGCCATATTCTCTCCTGCATACTTTTCTGTGTACTCATTACTTCAATCCTCACCAGGATCTGTTGCTTTCCAGTACTTCATGGATAGATTTCAAGGTCCTCTTCACAACCTTTCAAGTAGGTTATCCTGAGCTTGCTCCATGATCTTTGCAATTTCTCTAGCCATCCACTTCCTGCTGTACAGTCTGCTATTTCCTTGCTTCTTCCAGCCCACCATCTATAGCTCGACTTAAGCCACTATGCTCCCAAAAGTCCTTCTCTCCTGCCTTGAAAATTTCTCTGATTGTGCCTTTGGTTAGCAATCTTAAATTTCACCTTTTTTTCCATACTCGAGGATCCCAAAGACTTTGTGAGGTGATTTGAAAGCCCACGTGAGAGGCATTTTATATTTTAGGTGGATGCATGCGCAAGTTGTTTTTCCACCTTCAGAGCTCTCAGCTATCATTACTTAATTTTTAAACAAATTGCACAATTTGTAGAGAAAACCAATTAGAACTACTGAATCTAAATTCAAAAGAGTTCTTGAAGTTTTTTTAAAAAAAATTGTATTCCCATTGCCTCACCTCTTGGGAAGACTATGGAAGGTTTGTCTGTTGACTGTTAAGACAACAAATATTGTTTCTTGGACATACATTCTGCACATCCTAGTGTCATCATAGATGCTGATGTTTCTTGGATAAGCCAATAACTGTTATGTATGGTTGCATTCAAACCATGCATTTGATTTACTTTGCATAACTGATCAGAAATTTCCCAAATGTTATGTGGATGTCTGGTTGTAATGTTTAAATGTATAATTTGCAAGAATTGATTATGGTGTTTTAGTAAAACCAGTATATTGAAACCTGAAGGAGATGAGTTGAATATGGAAAATTTTGCTCTTTCACAAAGTAACATTTGTGCTACATTTGTGACTTTTAAATAATGATGGTTCTAGGGTTATTTTGATTTATGGGGTGATTAGTCTACAGCATGCATTGTCTACAGTTTTCTGTATGATGTAATAGTTTTGTCAGGAATTTGTGTTGTGCTGTTGACATTGCTGTTTTCCCTCCTTAGAGGATCTTATGTCATTGCTGGATGCTGACATACATTCTGCACATCCAAGTGTCATCATAGATGCTGATGCTATGTTTTCTGAAGACATCAGCTATTTTGGTTATCCTTCCTTCCGTCGTTCTTCCCTCTCCAGACTAGGCTCATCAAGAGGTATTTTAAAGCTGAGATCATTTTACTAGATGTTCTGCTTTTCAAGGAGATTCCTCATTACCCAATTTTCTTTTCGCCTTTTAGATTTGTCGTAACAACTGTGAATTTATTGTAATTTGTTTCGACCAACGCTAGTTGTAAATATATATTAAGTGAAGAAATCATGACTAATATTTAGGAAGAAACCACTTGCTCTCTTGCATATAGTGGAAACAGACTTGAGGTAAATAGCAGTTGACTGAAATGTGATGCAGTGTTGCTTTTCAGTGATTCCAGAATGTTGATGGTACTGCTGGAAGGCAACAGAACTTTAAGACGCTTCACTATCAGACAAAATCATTGATCACATCTGCTTTAAGACTGTTTCCTTCTCTTAGAGTTGTGATTTTTGTGTCAGGTTTTTGGTGGTGGTTCAGCGTGATGGAAATGTAATGTGACAAATCTTAACGGGTTGTTTATAGTTTTGACATACCTCAGCATTACTACTTTAGGTTAAACATTTTCACATTTGCTGTTTTTCTCTCTTTGAGAAAATGCTTTGGGGTATGCAACTGAAAGACGCAGATCTGACTAATTCTTTTGTTTTGGCATCTTGGGCATAATAATTACAGGAGATGAATAATTGCTGGTGAACTTGGATTTAAAGGAAATATTTCAAACTTGTGGTCACGCTAAAAGAATGGACTATCATGTATTCGTGTAACCATGCAGTTGTTAAATAACTGTATATCGTCAGTTCTTTTCTCATAACTGTCACAAAAATCAAACCTTTCCTTTTTTTGTGCTCATCGTACATGTATACAATAATGGGGAGCATGAGGAACCAAATTGGACACAATTAGTGGTCTTGATGCCTTTGAGAAGCATACCACCACTTTATGCAAACTGAAGAATTACAGACACGACACTAGTTATTCTTAATCATTTGTCGTTTCATCTGCTAAGTAGATGTTTTTCAAAAGATTGAACGCTCATTTTCCAGTCCGATTAATTGATCATAGCTAGAACAGCATAATTGGCTTAAGCATCTTTAGGACAGGATTCCTAATATGATAACTATCCAGTGATCCTCGTTGGAAAATACATATGTGTGAACCTTGGAACAGAATCTAGCCTAGCGTGCTGTTGCCCACAATCAAACATTGTCTGCAAACACTCAGTCTGGACGAATATGAAATTGACACTTGGGAGTTTTCTGAAAGCTTCTTGGATTCTTAAAATGAAACACTGACTGATTTTCAGAACCAAATTAAATGGTTCATTCGGACACGTTGTTTTCCATTTGAAGTCAAATTTAATGAAGTAAAATTTTGTGCATGATAAGAGGGGGAGAAAGATGGGGGCGAGTGTAGAATAAAGTACAAGATCTTTTCCTTAAAAGCAACAGTTCCAAGAGAGTGAAATTGTACTGCACTGAACTTTTTGCAGGCATTTATACTAGTATAGTGGCAGCTGTCTGAACATGTTGCCTGCCTTTCCTCTTGGTCAAGAATTGGTAGTTAGATTCAAACCATTTAAAGATGAGATTATTTTGTGGAACAGTGGGACTTTTTTTTAGGAGGCGGATTATCCGTAGTCTCCTCTGAAGAACGGCACCACTAGTCAGGAAGCACTCCTCCAGCATTGCATTGGAGTGTCAGCCTAGAGTGTGAATTCAAAGTCCACAATCTTCGGACTCGGAGGTGAGAGCCAGGATGACACCATTATCTCTCATTCACCATTATCATGACAGTGATTTACTCCCATTCTTCCTTTTACTTGGAGTATCCTGCCATTGCCAATTTATCACTCCGATACCTTTCCCAAGTGATTATTCTTGGTGTCTGATCCTTGACTGAATTTTTGTAGGCTGTTCAAATTCAGGAGCTACACAGTGAAACCTCATTCTGTCCTTGCCCTTAATCAATGGCGACATGTATGCATTTACGTCAGGGGCTGCTGGATAGCTATCAGACCAAGGAAACCTGGCAGCCTTTTCTCTTCTCTCTTTTCCCCACACTCCTCTCTCCTTCCCTATGAAGAGTGCCTTTTACGTAGCACTACTGTTACCACATTGGCTGAGATCAACTTGGTGCAAACCAGATATCAGTGGTCAGAACTGTTGAAATATATGAATCAAACATTCATTGGATACACTTTCTGAGGAATGGGGGTGGTAGGCGTATATTAATATATAATAGATTGAAGTGTTTATAGTATTTCAGTATGTTTGTTCCGTCATAGAGCAAGTTATTCCTTAGAAGTTGTGTGTAAAACTGCTTTTAGTTGTACAGTCAAGGGTTTTCCTAGAGATTGGCTTATTTTTATTCCACTGGTGTGACCCCATTGCATACCAGTTCTCCTTCTTCCCTTAGAGAGAGACTCCGATCTGTTGCGTGAACGTGAGTCAGTTTTACGTTTACGTGAAAGGAGGTGGCTTGATGGTTCCTCATTTGATAATGAACGCGGCTCCACAAGCCGAGAAGGCGAATCAAGTTTGGATAAGAAAAGCCTTCCAGTCCAAAGCCCTGTTTCCCTGGGAGAAGAATTGCAGTGGTGGCCTGACCGAGTGAGTGACATTTCTTCATATTAATTACCTGGTTTGGGGGAAAGCCAGCAGCCAAACAAGTAATACAGATGGATTTATTTGTACATTGTGTCAAAGCACAACGTAACCGACTCACAAATAAGTTTCTTTTTCCTCATTTCTTTCTCCCCTCCCTTACCTATGTCTCCCACCCTCCCCTAAAGGATAGTCACTAGTTCATTGAGATAAACCTCATACCTATTGTATTAAATTTGTCCCAATCAGTGAATTTATGTTTGAAGCACAGTTGCACATTTTCTTCTTTAAAGCAAATTGAAGGAAACTGGCTATTGTCGCCAGGTCTGGTGGGCTAGATTGATTTGAAATTTGCTTTTTGCAGGATGGTACTAAGTTTATAGCTATTGGAGCGCTATACTCTGAGTTGGTGGCAATAAGCAGTAAAGGTGAATTGTATCAATGGAAGTGGAATGAATCTGAGCCATACAGGAACGCACAGGTAGGAATATACAGTTTTTACTTCACATTGCTTTTTTTTATTGTCCAATACTATGTTATAACTTTCACACAAATTGAAATCAAACTTTTTTTGCCTTGAAGAATCCAATTGTGCATCATCCTCGAGCCACGCAGTTAGGTTTAACCAGCGAGAAGATTGTCCTCTTGGCTGCAAACAGCATCAGAGCTACAGTTGCTACAGAGAGCAACAAAGTGAGTATAGTTCAATTGACCCACTTGAAATTTACCACTGAGCACATTTCTGGACCTATATTGGGTTACAGGATTGAGGACTAAACTATCTGGAATTCTCAAAAGAATTTTGCTGTGGTAGTATTTACTGCACTGTAATGAACATAAATGCTTACATCCCATTTTAAGTTGCATCCTTCATTCCCACAGAACATGAATGCATCGAGAATGTTTTTATATATAAGAGTGAGCTAAGTTATGATGCTTTTGTTTCTAGTATGAACTATATTGATATCATCCACACTTGTAAATATCTGTGTATATTCACTTCATTATGTGAACAAGTGAAATGCTGCTTTCTGATTAAGGCTACAGTATATAAGGAATCTGTATCCTGTGGTTAGGGAAGGACTGTACTGCACATTTAGCAAAGGGAACAATATATTCCATACACTTTGTCTCATAGGTTGCCACATGGGTGGATGAAACTTTATGCTCTGTCGCTTCTAAATTGGAACACAGTGTGCAAGTTTTTACCGAGTTACAGGGAGAAAGAATTGTATCCCTACATTGTTGTGCTCTCTACACTTGTGCACAGCTGGAGAATAACCTGTATTGGTGGTAAGTGTTTGTATTTAATTTAATTAATTTGAGTAGATACAGGGCGACCCTGTTAGACCATCCCCTGAATGACCCAGGGCCTATATGTACCACTGTCTTCCAGTGGTGCCTATCTGGCTTCCTTTACTGAAAAATAGCTGCCTTCTGAGTTGTCAGGTTGTTGCTGGCAATACTTCAAACAAGATTCATGCTCTGCACAGGACGTGCTGCTCACATTACTTTATTACAGAAGTGGCATCAGTGATGCTTCTTGTGCTTAATGTGTAGCACACAGGATGTCACATACAGCGTGAATTTTTAAATTGAAAATCTGCTTGCCTTGGGAATCTAACTTGCATGAAAGGCTGCTTTTTTGTTTAACCACCCTCTCAGTCAATTTGTTCGATAATGCATTTGAAATTGCATATATTTGGAGTATTGGTATTATAACCTGATTTATTGAGTCTAATTAAGTTTGCAATCCAGATTTTGGTGATTATAAATGACTTGTCTTGCTTTCTCATGGTTCTCCTGTGCTGTTCTTTGAAATCCTAACAAATCAGCATTTTTTAAAAAAAAATCTGAAGCCTGAGTTACTGCTGTTTTAACTTGAAATATTAAAATTGAAGATTTAAGCTTGCTTCAATTTTTAAAATTGCTTCCAAATATTTCAATGATGAGAAATTTCACTTCAATTTGGCAGACCAAAGGATGTTTGTTTCTTTCCTAGGGGAGTAGTTCCTTTCAGTCAGCGGAAGAAGATGCTCGAGAAGGCCAGAGCCAAAAACAAAAAGCCAAAGTCTAGTGCAGGAATTTCGTCAATACCCAACATCACAGTCGGAACACAGGTCAGAAGGAGGAATGAAGGGCTGTTTCTTTTTAATATTTAAGTCTTCAGTTAAAATTGTAATTGAGTTGCCATATTTTTGCATGGATTAATAAACCTGTGGATTAACTGAGACTTCTGTTATTGAAAATGAGAAGGGCATTTTGAAATGGTTGAAAGATTAGACAAAACCGTATTGTGCTTTAGCTGAATGATGACACTTTTCTGCAGTAAAGTTACTATTTTAAATGTTTCTGAAGCTAAAATTTTATTTGTATTTTTCAAATTGAGAAATGAAAGCCCAATGCATCAACTTGTCAATTTCTCTGAAGTGCAATGCAAAGAAATGTGCCTTTGTTCCATTAGGTGTGTTTGAGAAATAATCCACTTTACCACTCTGGAGCTGTAGCTTTTTCCATCAGTGCTGGCATTCCAAAAGTCGGTGTACTGATGGAATCAGTTTGGAACATGAATGACAGTTGTCGATTCCAGCTGCGATCACCGGAAAGTTTGAAAAGCTTAGAAAAGTTGTCCAAAAGTACTGAAAGCAAGTAAGTTGTTCATGTAGTGCTGTACATTGAACATGCACTTATTTAAGTTCATTAACTTTTTATATTAATTTCCCTAAGGTCACGGCTGTTGTTTTTGAGTTGGCATTTTTAGAGTCAGGCCTTCCACAAACGTAGTCAAAGTTTCTAAGTTAAGTAAAGTAGCTATTTTATGAGATTTTAACCCATTTGAAATGTTTCTAATGGAAAACTGTCTATATAAACATGAAAAAAACACCTGTCAGTCAAGTCTCCTGCTCGTAGTTGCGTTTGGGAGTTGTAGATTTTTGGGGGAGGTTTGATCCCTGTGTGGTGAGTCTGAGAAGAACAATTATATTGTATTATAATGCTGTGTGAGAGAAAACAACACTGAGAGTCTGGAGCCTGATATCTATGTTGTGAGAGTCTGACAATAAAGTCTGACCACCCCCAGACCTGGGCGCAGGCACCACAATGTTTCCCCATGATGGCCTGGGAGGAGCCTCACACCCACCGCTTCCCTGGGGTTGTGCATTTGCTCTATGAAACCAGGAGAGTGGCAGTGGTGAGATTTTGCAGCAAGAGGCCATTGCTACGCACCACACTGGTGGCAGCCTCGATCACTTCTGTGGGTCTGTCAGCTCGGGAAACCCATGAGGGGAAATTTAGGAGAAGAGGAAAGAGTGGGGGAGAGCCACTATAAAAGGTGTGAGAGGGGAGATTGGGCGTGGGAGAGGGAAAAGTGGGCGTATGAGAGCGCAGGGTGGGAGAGTAGGAAGGTGGGTGTGGGAGGTCCAGCTTGTGTGTGAAGGGTTTTAAAAATGGCTGGTCACATTTAGAAAGACAGTTTTGGTATTCACTTGGCCATTATCAGAAGACGGATTCTCCACGTAAAACTGTTCTGCTTTTTAATTTTTTTTTGGTATAGGACAGAGAATAAACCAGAATCTGTGAAGACTGAAATGGGTCCTCCTCCTTCCCCAGCATCCACTTGCAGTGATGCATCCTCTATCGCAAGCAGTGCATCACTACCCTACAGTAAGTGTAACAAACTGGACCTTCTTTATTACGTCAGTTTTTAAACTGTAAATCTCCTCTGAACCGTAAACACTAATATCCTTCCGATAGTGAAGTCACTGAAGCTGGCACAATATTCTTACCTGGGTCTAATTAATGGTTTATGCAGGTTGGCATCATCCACTTGGTTGAGATGCAAAATTAAATCACCCACCTGAAGCGGTTTTGGGAGTCAGATTCCTGAGCCAGGTCTGCAGTACTCCGGGGGCATTGCTGATGACAGACCAGCTAGCCTGGCTCATCAGTGGGGCTTGAATGGACACAGCAGTCTTACTCAGCTCATGTTAACCCGGCCAAATCAGCGCCCAAATAGAGAGGGTGGTCCAACCTGGGGAAGTGTGGAATCTTGCCTGACTGTGTGATTAATGGCACACTCTGGAGTCCCTAAGCCAAGTTGGCTCCTGCCAACATGTGCCTAATACACACTGGAATTACATAAACAGAATGCATCCCTCCAAGGACATCAAATTTCATGCCAAACCCAGGGAAATTTACATATGTAAGTAGCATATATATGTGGAGCTCTGTCTGGTTGGACGCTCAAGCATGGTGATGGATTTCACCAATGTCAGAGTTAGCTGACCAAAAAAACATACAAAATGTGTATTGTGTATATTGTAATCTTTTAAGTTATGAACAACTTGATCTTCCAAAGCAGAAGTTTGCTTCTCTTTGTCTAAACAGAGCGTAGACGTTCCACTCCAGCTCCAAAAGAGGAAGAGAAAGTGAATGAAGAGCAATGGCCACTGCGAGAAGTGGTATTTGTTGAAGATGTTAAAAATGTACCAGTGGGAAAGGTCAGTGTCTATCATGTATCTAGTATTTTATTGAATTAGATGTAATGAAACTGTGTCTTGTATGAACACATGAGGGAATAATGCACAATATTTTCTAAAAATAACCTAGCAAAGATTTCTTTAAAAAAAATCCACAGTACTCCTTGCTGTAGTAATAAAGACGGTGTTAACCAAACGTAAGCCAAAGAGGCACTTATAAAAGTGATTACATTTTTCCCTGCAGTAAAACTGCAATAAAATCTACTTACAGTAGAACACCATTGGCAGAAAATTGTAAACTCTGTTAAACTATAGTGTATTATAAGCTGTATAAATTACTCACAGCAGCAGTTTCCACTCCTATTCATTGCAGCTGAAACACATCACTGCTGCATAAGGCTGCATACTTATTTTTTAAAGAAATACATTTCCATTTATTCAAAAGGTATTGAAAGTAGATGGTGCCTACGTTGCTGTGAAATTCCCTGGGACTTCCACCAACGTCAATAATCAGAGTTGCACTACCACAGATGCTGACCCAACATCTCTTCTACAAGACTGTAGGCTACTACGCATTGATGAGCTTCAAGTAAGCATTTTAAATGTGTTAACCTGGTACACATAACCCTAACAGTAAAATATCTTGGAGTGTGTAACAGTTCACAAGATTAGCTTGGATAAAGGCCCCTTTGGCTCCTCTGATCTCATCCTGCAAGAACACTCACCCCATCACAGTATTGAGCTGCTTTTTAAATGTACAGTGCCTCAGCCATTCCCGTTTCAGCCTTTAATTCCCCTCTGGTTAAAGAAAAACTTTGTGGTATTTGACCTATGACCTATCCTTGGTCACTCGTCTCCACAGCTCCCTCTCCTACACTCTCGATTCCCTTGCTCCCCTCTCCTCCCGAACCATCTCCTAGTCATGTAAGTCACCATGGTACACCAGCCACCTCAGCTCCCTTAAAGCACAGATGCGTGCCGCTGAATGCACCTGTCTTAAATCCAAATCAAACAGATCTGGCTGGACCTTATCAAATCTTGCCGCTCCGCACTCACCTCTGCTAAATCGTCATTCCACTCAAAAACAATCTTGGAAGCCAAGGACAACCCCAGGCTCCTCTTCTCCATTACCAACCGGCTCCTCCGCCCAACCTCTCACGCCTCGCCCATCCTCACCTCAAATACCAACTGCGAGGCGATGCTGGACTTCCTCGAATCCAAAGTCGAGAGGATCCGCTCAGCTACCTCTGCCATTCCGTCTGCTATCTCCCCCTCCTCCTCCCTATCTCCCCCTCCCACCACGGCCCCTACCCATCCCTCCCTCCAGACCTTTGCACCTGTCTCCCACTCCTCTCACCGCCAATACAACCCACATGAAACTGACCACCTGCTCCCTCAACCCCATCCCTAACCCTCTTCTTACCTCCCAGCTCCACCTCCTTGCCCCTCACAGACATCATAAACTTCTCCCTGTCCGCGGGTACTGTTACCAACCATTAAAAACATCCGTCATCACTTCTATCCGTAAACATTCCCTGGACCCATCTCTACTCTCAAACTACCACCCAATCTCCAACCTCCCTTTCCACTCCAAGGTCCTGGAACAAGATGTTGGTTCCCAGCTTTGCTCCTTCCTCTCCTGCCGCTCCCTTCACGAACCTCTCCAATCGGATTTCCATGACGCCCACAGCACAGACACAGCCCTGGTCAAAGTGACAAATGACATTTAGTCCATCTGCGACCAGGGCTCCCTCTCCCCCCTCGTCCTCCTTGACCTCTCTGCACCGTCGACCACTCTATCCTCATCCACCACCTCTCCTCTCACCTCAACCTTTACGGCTCTGTTCTTGACTGGTTCAGATCGTACATCTCCCGCTTGGTGACATCATCCACAGACATGGGGTCAACTTCCACATTATGCGGATGACACCCAACTCTACCTCTCTGCCTCTACCCTTGACTCCAGGACCACTGCTGTCCTGACAGAATGTCTGTCAGACATCCAAGTCCTGGATGAGGGTTAATTTTCTTCAATTGAACATCAACAAGACCGAGGCTCTCCTGATTGGCTCCCATCAGCGCCTCCTCACTGGCGCTGACAGCATCACCATCTATAGTTGCACGCTCCACCTTATTAAGCCAGTCTGGAATCTTGGGGTCTTGTTTGACCCTCAACTATCCTTTCTACCCCACATCTGTGCCATGACCCGCTCTGCCTTCCCCCACCTCCACAACATCGCCCGGCTCCGCCGCTGTCTCACTCCGCAGGCTGCTGAAACCCTTATACACGCTTTCATTACATTGAGGCTTGACTATGCAAACTCCTTGTTTGTCAGACTCCCCAACTCCTCCCTCCATAGGCTGCAGATCATACAGAGGTCTGCAACCCGTTTCCTCTTTCGCATCAGGATCCGTGACTCTTATCACTCCCATCCTCGCCTGACTCCACTGGGTTCCATCACAGAGGATACAGTTGAAGATCCTGTTCCTCACTTTCAAAGCCATTCATGGTCTTGCTCCTCGCGACCTCCTAACCCCCTACCATCCTGCTCGCCCCCTCTGCTCAGCGGCTTCTGGCCTGATTCACGTCCCTGCCTTGCTCGCCCCATTATTGGCGGGCGGGCGGGCCTTCTGCCACTCTGTCCCCACCTATACAACTCCATCAAGATCCTCCTCTTCGACTGTGCTTTCGATATCCCTGTTTCCCCACCCTGCCTTCCATCCTCCTTGATCCCGACCCCCAGCTCGGGTCCGAAACTCTGTCCAGCGCTTTGGGACATCCTCCCAACGTGAAAAGCGCTATACAAATCTAATTTTGTTATTGTATTTGTCCTGAAATTGCCTTTTCTATGTCCACTTGTCTACTATCTTGGTGCATCCTAAAGTAATATAGAAATCCTAGTGTTGGTGACTTAGAGTTGTGAGTTTGATTTTTTTAATCCATGGTAAAATTCACAGTATTGAAAGGAATTTCAAACACTCGTACCCAACGGCATGTAAATTTCCATCCTGACTTGCTAAATTTAAATAGCTCAAACAAACGATTGTTCCTTATTGTTTTTCCTCTGCTTTGGTGCACTGGCCAAGATGGTCATTTGTCATATGTGAACCTATATAATGTTGGCTGTCAATGGGGATGGGACATCACAACTACCCAATCATCCAAACTAAATGCATTTCCCACAGATGAAAAAAATGCTATACATATAGGATATGCTGCTGATCCTAACTATATCAACAATTTTAACAAATTGTGCTAGGAATGGAGAGAAATAAAGGCTATTTCTCTCTGAGAGCCATATAGAAAGTGACCATTTTGTGAAGTATGAGTTTAGAACTACAATTGAGTGAGTAACTTTTGTAACTGGAGAACATGAGTAAGTGTTCATGACAGGTGCCTGACCTAGATATAGAACATGTATATCTTGTGGAGTGCATTTTACAGTTCAAATGATGCACTTTACATATTTTTTTTTAAGGTGGTGAAAACGGGCGGGACGCCAAAAGTTCCAGATTGCTTCCAGCGAACTCCTAAAAAGCTTTCTATTCCAGAAAAGGCTGAGATTCTTGCTGTGAATGTGGATTCCAAGGGTGAGTACAGTACAATACACATAGTACTTGGTCTTGTAATTCTAGGATTTTACTGAGACAATGGAAAGGGTTATTTTGATTCAATGAAACATCTAATTTGGGTTTAGATTCTTTATTCGGTCTCCTTGATCAAAGATTATTAATAATGTTTACAAAATCTATATGTACACTGTTAAATTGTTTGTGGGTTTTGGTTAGTTACCACCTTTGTAAGAAACTAAATTGTTGTAACACTAACATTTTGAACATCTAAGAGTAATATAATTGTATTTATTGTGGTGCCTTGGGTCGAGATTTTGTAGCTGAATTAGTTGGTCAGAGGAAATTGCATTCCTAAGAAAAGTGGAACGAAGCTACTGAACTTGCCATCAGCTTGGCTTCCCCGCACGGTCAAACTGTGCAGGGGAGCTAGCTTGAGGTCATCAGAGTTTGGTACAGCCTTGCTCACTGCAACAGAGCTGCTGTGCGTTATAGTAGACGTCTTGAGCAAGGTCAAGGTATACTTTCACAAATGCACTTCCAACACAATTTCCTCAACACACAAGATTATTGAGGATCTCTTACAAACCTTCCAGATCAGAGACTGCCAAGAATTTGATGCAAGAATACAAGCATTGAGCCAAAAGATTGTTGACTATTTGATGTAAACCATCAATTTGTTTTAATTTTTACAAGCTGGCATTATGAATTTATACATTCAAATATACCTTGATTTGAGGTTGCACTTAAATTGCAAATAGATGAGGTACTTTATATGAAGTTGATTTTTTCATAGACTCATTTGGAAAGGAATGGATGTTTTGGACCTAATTGAAAATTATTGTTTAAATAGTTGACAATTTTCTTCTGGTAGGTGTTCATACTGTTCTGAAGACAGGCAACTGGGTCCGTTATTGTATCTTTGACCTAGCAACAGGAAAAGCTGAACAGGAGAATAATTTTCCTACAAGCAGTATTGCTTTTCTTGGTCAAAATGAACGCAATGTGGCAATTTACACAGCTGGTCAGGTATGCACTAGTGACTAATGTTTCATATTTCCTAGAATTTCTTGCATTATGTAAATTCTTTGATTGCTCATTTTATTAGTACAATTACTATTTATTGTTGTAAACGAGGAGGGGAAATTGCTTGGGGAGTGGATTATTTTCATTAATCCATGGTCCTGTGCTGCTATTTTGGTAGAGCGATCTTGCACTTGCAGTGCTGAATTTTGAACTTGACTCCTAAATGTACAAAACAATAGTTCATACGGTATTCATATTAACATTAATTTTTCTGTTCTGTAAAATGGCGTAGTATTATGAAGTTTTTAGTCTTATAAGTGTTAAGTTTTAAGCTAAAGTTCAGTTTTAAAAGTCACCAATACGTATTTTTTCTCAAGTCTCAAAATTAGCCTAAGTGAGTAGGTTGGTTCTAGTTGATTTATCTGCAGCATCTAGTCCAGTGGTGGTCAACCTGTGCCCTCTTCCCCCCCCACCCCCTGAACATTTGCACGAGTCTAGGTATTATTTCTTGTCTTATACATAAATCAAGAAATATTCAATCAAGAATTATTTTGTTGGCCGACCTTAAAGGCTGGCCACCACTAGTCTAGTTCTTCTGCAATGAATGGATTCATCTCAGTGACTGATGCCTGTGGCACTTGTTCGCCTTTTCACAAAATGCATAATCTTGAAGTATGAAATGTGCACAATACCTAAACAATATTTGTTACCCTGCTGATGATATGATACTGGATGCATTAAATATTATAAATATCCATTTGGGGCATTTAACTCCTGGGTGTTCTCTAAATCCAGGATGACAGCTTTTTATTAAAGAACTAACTAATGCAGCCAATATTCTGTTAAGAGGAAGTCAACTGCTGCAGATCATTGGCTGCTTTTGATGTACCCAGAGAATGTTTGGTGTGACAACTTTTTGATGTAATGCTCAATTGACCCCAATATCAGTTTTCAACTTCTTTTAACATATCTTCAATTTAGAGGAAGAATTGTGTTTTGGCATAGAGTATTCTTGGAGACATGCTGGAGATGAACGATGATCAACACTGAGTTGTGGTCAGGGAGGAGGCATCTCGGTCCTCTGGGATCACACTGCATATCCTTAGGAGCTCGCACTTACTTTAACATGACATGCAACTGTGTCCAGTGTATCCGGCTGATTTGGCACCAATAGCGAAGTTTTTTTTTGTTTGGAATTTGAATGCTCTTAAGTTATTTTGCATTTTCCTATGCCTCTTTGAACAACAGCTTTAGCTGCTTAACCTGGTTATTAGGGGCAAGCAAATTCTTGAACGATTCTAATTTACTCTTGGCAACAACAACAAGTTGCACTTATATAGCACCCTCCACGCAGGATGGAGTATTAGAGCACATAACAGTGGCGGAGCCTGACTCCGAGCGGTGGGGAGGTGACTAAGCATGGTTGAAAAAGGTTTCCAGACGGGACTTGAAAAGGGAGAGGGGGTAAGGCAGAGGGATTGAGGGAGAGTGTTCCAGAGTTTCCGGGTGCAGCAGCTGAAAGCCCGATCTCCTTCTGTCTGGCATAACTCTGAGCGGATAATATCTTTAAAACTTTTTGGTTAGTGGATGGCGATCAACAATCAGAATTGTATTTATTAAAAGTGACTGAAATAAAAAAAATCACTTGACAAAACAAAGTTAAAAGTCGAGATTCTATTTGGGTTAAATGTGCAAGTAAGGCAGGGCTACTTAATCGATTAACTGAAATTTGCAGTTTGTGGGTCATTTTGAGCTAGTAACTTTTGAAATGGTAAGTGTGTAGCCTTGGTTGACCATTCTTTTAACCGCAGACTCGATGTTGGAACAAAAAGTCTTTACTGCGAACTGTGGATAGATATGGTTGTATGATTTCGGGTTATTTTAGAATGGACAATTCAAAAAAACGTTTCTTTTTTTTTTGTAATTAGTTATAAACCAGACTATTTAATCTGAATAAATCAAATCGATTTAGTATTTCTGACTATCAACCTTCGTTTGTATTTCTGTAGGAATCCCCCATTGTTCTCAGGGATGGAAATGGCACCATTTATCCAATGGCTAAGGATTGTATGGGTGGAATCCGAGATCCCGATTGGTTAGACCTTCCACCGATTACTAGCCTCGGGATGGGTATCCATTCTTTGACAAACCTTCCTGCAAATTCATCTATTAAGAAGAAAGCAGCAGTCATTGTAATGACTGTAGAGGTTGGTTACCTGGTCTTTTAAGAAAAGTATGTAGGCTGCGTTATGTACGTACAAATAGTGAAACATGGTTTTCTTAGGGTTGAGTTTAAAATACAATCAATCATTAGAGCACTTGGAATTTTGAAAATGCGAAGTCTTCTCTTTGGTTTATATAAGCAGGAAGCTTGGCAGCGAACTCGGTGGCAAGCTTTGTGATTTTAGGTGATTAGAATCCAATACTCACTTGGGTTCTCAAGCATTGGCTTTTGTCATCGAGCATCTAAATGCTTTGGGTAAGAAGGGCCCATCCCTTGTAACAATAATAATCTTTGGAGTTGATATAGCGTCTTATCACATTGTTGGAACGTCTCAAAAGGCTTAACAGGATTTGCTGTAGAGTACAGTGACTATTTTTTAGGCTGAGTGAAATGCAGCAGCCAATTTGACGACAAAAAAATTCTGGGGGATTGTTAGTTGGACACCTTGATAACATCCCTTCTCTGGTGGCAGCGTGTGTGTTAAATCAGTTATAACTGTCTTAAACACTATTGCTATTACCAAACTGAGCTTAAGATTCAGGAAAACAAATGCATTACATTTCTGGAAAAAATAGATGAGAAGGATTATTTCCACTGATCTGAGGCAGTAATAAGAAAGAGGCAATAAAATTGACTTATCATTAGAAGAGACAAAGGGAAGGTTAGAAGAAACATTGTTATAGAATATCAAATGCTGCACTGAAACTGTCTGTTGTCAGGCCAGTAACATTTAAATTGGATAAATATTCAATGATAAAATTAAATGTTATGGGGAGCGTTTGAGTTAATGAGATTAAAGTAATTTGCTTCTTTAGGGAGCATTGGCACCAATACAGAATTAATGATCCAAATTACTTATTTCTTTGCCTTCAACATTCCATGATGCTGCAATGGGCTGAAATGTTTCCATGACATATGGAAAATAATTTCAGGATATTTCCATTTTGTGCATTTGTTTCCAACTTGTGGTTTTTAAAATCTAGTGCATTGATATTTCATTTCTTGCAGTCATTTAGTGCCATCATAGTGATCAGACTTTTGCTGCAGATATCCTGTTGTGATCATACGAATCTCATTCTTGAGGTCCATGCAATATTAATTATTAAAACCATCTGGTGATGAGTGAGATAATATTAGGGTTAAGTGTGACATCTCATTTGTAAGAGAAATTGTTTAAAAAGTTCAGATCTAAATGTCTTTACATTTGTGTCTACTGTCCCCATAATAATGGTTCAAATTTATTTAACTTTCACAGAAGCAAGCATTAATGCAGCACATACTGAGATGTGATTATGAAGCCTCCAGGCAATACTTGATGAATCTTGAGCAGGCTGTTCTTTTGGAACAAACCCCACAAGCTCTCAAGATGTTCCTGAACAATCGGTGTGATGGAAATCGCAATGTCTTGCATGCCTGTGTCTCCGTCTGTTTCCCAACAAGCAATAAAGAGACAAAAGAGGAAGAAGGTGAGTTTAAACCATACACACTGCATTGTGAACACAAGGAATTTTTGGGGTGAGCATGGAAATAATCATTCAGGGAAGTATTAACCTTCCTGTTACCCAGCCATGATTGGGATCAGACCATTTTGTAAAGTAAGATGTATAATTGTCCCATTGGACAATTGTACTAAGGTTTGAAAGGACAAATCTGCGTTTGATTGAAGAAATTTGATGAATTCTATATTTTCAGAGTCTTGTATTTTGAGTCTTGTCTGGCTTGCTCTTTTACTTTTATAACAACAACTTGCATTTATATAGCGCCCCTCACGCAGGCTAGCATCCCAGTGTGCTTGACAGTGGCAGAGCATGACGCTGAGCCGGCGGGAAGGTGGAGGTCGAAGTGGAAGGTCTTCAGGCGCGACCTGAAGATGGGGCAAGATGGAGGGATAGAGGAAAAGTTCAAGTCTTGTGGCATAGTGTCTGAAAGAGCGGCTGTCAATGGTGGAAAGGAGGGCATCAGGGACATGCAGAAGGCCAGAGCCAGTCAAGTGGAGGTAGTGGGTTGCAGGATACGCAGGTCAGAGAGGTAGAGAGGTGCCAGAGCATGAAGCGATTTGAAAACAAGTGTGAGGATCTTGGAATCGATCCATTCAGCAATAGGGAGCCAGTGGAAGGAAGGACAGCTGTAGTTCGAACCTGACGCCTAGGTTGCACACCGGATTGGTGAGTCTTAGAGGAATAGGCCAGGGAAGTTGAGGAGATCAGAGCCACAGGACAGAAGACGATGACGGGAACCAAGGACTATGGGTTCCATCTTGTCAGCATTTAGTTGTAAGAAGTTTGCGCTCATCCAGGCCCTGATGTCCGCCAGGCAAACTAACACAACACGGGTGGACCTGGAGTCGAAGCTGGAGGAGGAGTAGATTTTTGTTCATCCGCATACATGTAGAAGTTTATCCCGTGTCTGCAGATGACATCGCCAAGAGGAGCATATAGATGAGGAAGAGGAAGGGGGGGCCAAAATTGGAGCGCTGGGGTACACCACAGATGACTGCGCGGGGCCGAGAGGAGAAACCATTTGAAGAGATGCGTTTGCTGTGAAGAGCTAGTGACTTAAGTATTTCTGTCCCACAGAAGCAGAGCGCTCTGAAAGGAATACGTTTGCAGAGAGGTTATCTGCAGTTGAGGCCATTGCAAATGCCATCTCTGTCGTGTCAAGTAACAACAGTGGTAACAGGACTGGACCATCTAGCAGTAGGAGGTAGGTCTAAGCACATACATGAGGATTATTCTGTTATTGGGTGCTCAGTATAAATGTAGCTATTAATTGATTCAATTAATTAATTGATTCAATGCTTGACATTAGCTATCTTTAGTTTGAAATGTCATGCCTTATACAAATTTCTCCTTCCAAGTTTAAGATTACGTGAAATGATGAGACGCTCACTTCGAGCTGCCGGCTTGGGACGGCATGAATCGGGTGCTTCATCCACTGACCATCAGGACCCAGTATCTCCTCCTATTGCCCCACTTAGCTGGGCACCAGATCCACCCGCAATTGATCCAGGTAACTCTTAGTTCACAAAAAAATTATTTATAGGAGGGTAGTTCGATACTGGTAAGAATAAGTAAGAATCACTTCCAACTTTCCAATTAAAAGTAGTTCATCCTTCAAATTTTAATAGATTTGTGAAATATCAATGTGCATAGACAACTTATATTGAAGTATATAATGCTGTTTCCTCATATTTGCTGCTTGAATTGTTTTGATTACCTCATTATTTAATTGCATGCAAATCCTATTCAGGTACGCAAGCAAACAGTGACAGTCATATTAAAGTACAGACTGACTCAAATTTTAACCTTCTCATTGCTGTTGCATAGGACATTTGATGGAATGCCTTTATCACCCAAAAAAAGTCGAAAGATTTTATTTTTCAACTTGAGAAACGTCTCAGCGTTTTACACTTGGGCTGTAATCTGGAGATAATGTGTCTGCTCGATGATAGATGCTACCACTTTCTTCTGCATCTGCCTATGTCAGGAGAAGGTTTGGTATCGGAACCAATGTATTTATCATCACAGTAGTTTCATTGATCGACATAATCAGAGCTTCAGATGAACACGACCTTCCGGTCATTTCCTTTTATCCTTCCAGAATACCAAATGCTGTCTTCTGGATTAAATCAGGATCAGACAGTTTCTTAAATGTCAGTTTCTTTGATATCTTAAGATATCAAAGCCTTCCTTCTTGGTGTAGTATTCTAGCTGTTGATCATGTCAGTTCATTCCTGAGTGGTCTGTTCAGTTAAATTGATGCTGTTAACCGTTTCAGGATTTGCACACCGAGCTTGCGTCCTTTCCAGTGAGTGTCTGCAACACTCATACTTAGCAAGATGAATAGCTTGTTGCAAATAATACACAGATAGTATGAATGAAGACAAAATCTTCAACAAGGGTGGAGCTGCCCCTTGTGTTCTCCCTGATACACTGATTCAGAAAGTTCATTGATGAGCTGGTCTTTCCCACTTGTGTATTCCCAATGTTGGGCTGATTGAAGTTTCTCTCCTCTCCCACGCACCCCACAAATCAGGACTACCCTCTTTCTTACACATTTCCTATATGTCAATATGATAGGGCATTCTTGTTACTTTGGCCTGGTGTAGTCTACAGCAAACTCCAAACATTATTCTGTCGCTTTCCTTGAAGTACATCTAATCAGAATTTTATAGCAATGTATTGCTGGCCCTACTAGCCTAACCTTCCAGGCATCCCTTATTTGTGTCTGCTTTATTCTTTCCCTCAGCTTTCTCTTAACCTCAAGCATCAGTGTCTTCTGTTTCAGAGCACTAGTTTTAGAGGTTGAGTTGGAGTCAAGTGCTGTATTAAAATTTACCATCCAACAAGACTGAGTGAGTTTGTTGAATGGGGTCCAGCGAGAGAGTTTAGTTTTATCTTTTGCTATTCAGTTGTTCCTTGTATTGATGAATATTCTGTTTACTGAAAGACGGTGACATTGATTTTATCCTGGCACCTGCGGTGGGATCTCTTACCACAGCTGCATCTGGTACTGGACAAGGACCCAGCACATCTACCATACCTGGTGAGGAATTGAGCTAATCTCGTGCTATAACTGCAAATTTCTTCTTCTGTTGGTGTTGCATAAACTGTTTTAATCTCTAATTTAACTTGATTACCAAAGCATATTTTAACATAATCTGGTGCGATTTGAGATATGTGAGGGTCTAGCTCATTCAGCAAATTTCTGCATATAAGTAAGTACCTCGTTAGGAGGCGCAAACTAGAACACTGAGTTTAACGGTTCACAGAAGCCATGTGAATATTGATTCACTGCTCTCCATGTGTCGTTTTATTCTGGTTTTATGCCATAGCTCTTTTTCTGTTTCAGATCCTTTTCTCCTGAGTAAACTCCTGATATATGGGGAGTTGTATATCCTTTTGAGTTGACATTATTGAAATTTGATCAGCATTGAATTATTTATTTGCTCCCTTTTAGTGACTTAAAAAGGAAGAGGAATGATAGGGGCATGGGGAGTGGACACAAAGTTCACCCTTTTAATAAAATACTAGCCCTTTAGGAGAGACTCTTTGCACAATATTTAGGAATGAAAGACAACATGGTCAGTTAATTGCTGAGAAATGATGGTTCCAGAAAATGTTTGGAGCTCCAAAAGGAGTCTATGGAACATATTTCCCTCTTTCCCCCTCTTTCTTGCCTCCTCCTAGTCTTCCTGATGACACATTCCTTGTATCCCAAGAGAATAGGAAGGTAACCAGTTTTCAAACCTATCCCAGTACCGTTATTAAGCTTCCTACCACTAGATGTGAGGTATCTTGAGGCAACTCTATGCTAAAAATATTTTTGCTTTTCTTTCCCCTTGATGGTATGGTTTGACATTCAAAATTTGCCATTTCACTGGGCGGTACAGACCAGTAATACCAGATTTGTAACACCATTTAAACACAGTTTGCTAATGTTGTAATGTTATGCTACTGCACTGCGCACACAGAAATTTACAGACATTACAACCAGTGGAAAAGGAACAGTTACTTGTAGGTTTGAATTACATTTACAGTATAGCTTACATTTATAATAATAGGGTTATTATTAGAGCTGGATTTGGAGTTGGAAAATTCTATTGTACATCATTATGGTCAAATTACGATGAATAGAGATGAATATAAACATTATGTATTATCAATATCTTCATTTTAGAAAAATCTATTTAAATGTTCGCTTCCTATTTTTCATATTTTATTTTTCAGGTCCTTCAGCTGATCCACCTGTAGTGGAATCAAAGGATAGAAAAGCAAATGCTCATCTAATCTTAAAATTACTTTGTGAAAGTGTGGTACTGCGACCTTATCTTCGAGAATTGCTCTCAGCCAAGTAAGTAAATAGCACATGGTGCTATTTATGGCACAGACATGAATAGCCCCAAAATGTCACAGGAGTCACTTGGAGATGAACTAGCTTGTACTGTAATTGTATCTCTTCTTAATCAGCACATTGAGACTTTTAATTTGTGATCATAGTCAGTTTGTGGAAATGATATTGCAATTTGGGCATTGGGATTTTGATCAGTTCACAACTAGTGCTTAGTTGATCAGAGTAGAGAGGTAATGTGGGATCACAGAGTGGTTTTCATTCTAAGATTGCTCAGCAAGTAGAGGTGATTGGTTAGTTTATGGGTGATTGATTCCACCAGATTCATAAATGGATAGCATCCTTTTCTTCAGCGATATTGAGAAAACCAAAGGCTGGCTATTTTTTTTCAATGGAACACAGGAGGTTGAGGGTTGGAAATCATTACAAATAACTATTGAATTTGGAGCAATAGAATGATTCAAAAAGAAATTGAATAAGCATCTGAGCGGTAAACGTATGAAGAGAGAGCTGGTAGATGGGATTAATTTAAAAAAGTATCAGAAAAATGGATTGCGGTAGCACAAACATGATGGGACAGAATTACCTCTGTGTGCTGAAATGTTTTGTTTCTTAGCCTTTTATAACATTGAAGATCTCTATTAGATGATCATATAATCTTTTTTAATTCTAATGAAAAAAAAACTTGGTTTTTCAAGTCTTCATAATTGATACCTAATCTCAGGTAACTTTTTAGTGAATATTATCTTGTATAGAGGTCTGTTTGAGGTAAGGTGTGGTCTGCAGGCAAGTACTAAACTTTATGTGATATGTATAGTTTGTAAATATCCAAAAAAAAATAACATAAAATCTTTACATTTGACATAACGCCTTTCATGTTGGGAGGATATCTCACAGGATTTACTGAAAAGTGTAGTGACTACATTTTTAATTTTCCAGGGATGCTAGAGGAATGACTCCATTTATGTTGGGTGTTGGTGGGCGAGCTTATCCTGCAGCAATTACCATTCTGGAAACTGCACAGAAGATAGCAAAAGGTGAACCTTTTTGAGAATCATGCACAGAATAATGAAGTACTTCCTGACTATGTTTTCACAACTTTGGTTTATGATAGCAGTTTGATCTTCAGAGCTTGCCTGATTTCTCCATGTTTCCAAAGCTCCTGTCTGCAAGGCATCTTCCTCCAAATCCTGACAAAATCCCTTGAGGTTCCACTGTGTTGCTTCCAGCTCCTCCAAAGTTCTTATGCCCCTCCTAGTCTTCCTAGTTTTGCTTTGGAGAATGGAGACAAGTCGAACTATCGGATAAGTCTATCGCAGAAACTTGTGCACCACCAAGTAGCTAATAATTAAGGAGACTTGGTAGCAGATTACATGCTTGCTCTTCGTGCTACAGGCTACAAAGAATTTTACAGCCGATGCCATTGTTTTTTGCTAGTAGTACAGGTCTGTCATCGTACTCGGCAATCTTATTTGGGTCACAGATGAAACCATTTACTCAAACTTTTGGCTGTGAGTTTGTATTCATAAAACAAGGATTTTTATCTTGCCCATTAACCCCGTTACTGGTGTTGCTTACCATGTTAACCTTCTTTGTTTAGAATTCATTTATTCTTAAATTAAATGACTATTTTTCACCAGGTGATGTTTCAGGTGAAAAGGAAGAGGATGTATTCATGAGTATGATTTGTCCACCTGGCACTAATCCAGACGACTCTCCATTGTATGTCTTGTGCTGCAATGATACCTGCAGTTTTACGTGGACTGGGGCAGAGCATATTAATCAGGTATGTCAAAGAGTGTAAATCCAGCTCATTCAAATTGATATTCAAGTGTTGTACACTATAGGTCAAATTCCAGAAATATTCAATGTGCTTTATGTATTTAATTGTTTGCCACTCTTTGAAGTAATGGTTTCTCATACAAAGTATTCAGGCACATTGATTAGACTGCACCTTTAAGTACATTATTTAATCAGACTGCACTCTTCCCCTTAAGTACATTGATTATTTGTTTAAACGTTTGAAAGAAAATCATTGCTCAATGAAAATGGAGGGCTGTTCAAGTGAGAGAAAAATCACTAGAAGATTGAACTTTAACTGTTTGTTAGTGGATCTTATAATATTATTTAATTCCTCCCAATTCTCTGCTGCATTTAAACCTTCCATACTGTAATACGTGTTACTACTTCTTGCCTTTGAGGGCAATATTTGTTCATCTCATTTAGTTCTTATTTTGGTTAACTAGTTCATCGACATCTGGTTAGATTCTATGTAATAATCCCTACATTTGATATTGAACCTTATCAAGTTGACAAAATATTTAAAAGCGCTTCAAAGGAGCTCCCCCTGCACTGGAGTGTCAGTACAGACTATGAGCTCAAAGTCCTGAACTTATCTGGAACATGTTCCATGGACTGGAATATAGGGCAATACAGGACCATCCTGTAAAATGTGGTTGTATGGGTGCAGTATCTCAAAGGTGCATTAAAATAGCGTGTAAAAAATGGCTGACATACGGGTTGTTAGTCACGATGTGCAGGAAGTCCTTAACATGGTGAGTTCAGTGGTGACGATAATGTTAGCAGAGTTATATTTACATTGTGCAAGATATGGTATTCGTGATAATCTGGAATGCAGAGAGGTATGCTTACCTCTCTGCATATCAATTTAGGTGGTTCCTCACACATTGTACAGTGTAAGAAGTTGGTTAGGTTAGCCTAGGGTCACCTTCCCCATCCCCCGCTCGGACTCGAGCTCCGCCATTGTTAAGCGCTCTGAGCCGATGCCCGGCGTGGAGGACGCTATGTAAATGCAAGTTGTTATTGTTGAACACCAGAAAGCAGATGAGCAATGCTTCCACTAGGCCTACATCTAAGAAATCCTGCCTAAACCAGGTCACCCTAATCTTTGAAGGCTTTCCAGGGGATAATTAATACAACTGTAGCTTGCTTTACACTATTTTCTGAAATGCACCACTACTCTTATTTTTCTCAGCACCAGTTTTGTATCCACATGTCATATACTTATGGCTTTGATGCTCGATTTGTTGTCTCAAAACAAATGGCTCACTTCTGGTTAGACCTGTTCAGCACTTTACCGTGACATTCTGCACTTAATCCAGCAAACTCTTAGAAATAATTAATTTCAATTAAATTGAAGTGTATTATCGTAATTATGCCTCACTCTTATGTATTTACAAAAAGGCATTGTGAGAAACCTTCTATTTAATAAACATTTAGGGTGATGGGGGGGTGGTAGCAATATGATTTGCATGCTTCATCTTCAAATAGCAATGGTTTCTCCCTTTGAATGGTTGTATCTATAAATATGTGGAAGTTGAAACTTTTAAAAAAAGCCACAGTGGATGACGATTGAAAATTTGGATAGTCAAGTATATACTTAGTGTAAATTGTACATTGTAATTTTTTTGTTGGCTTTTGCTTAGGATATATTTGAATGTAGGACCTGCGGATTGCTGGAGTCTCTGTGCTGCTGCACAGAGTGTGCAAGAGTATGTCACAAGGGTCATGACTGCAAGTAAGTAATTGAAATGTTACCTGAATATTAGACTGGCTGATATTATAGAGCTTGTCTAGATCATTTGATTTCTTTCTCTAGGTTATATTAATTTGAAACAAATTGTAGGTTCAGAAGGAATAGCTGTAGAAAGAAACCATTTTCATTTTTATAGTGCTTTTATTATAGCAAAAGCCTCAGATCTTAACAGTAATTGTTAACGTTGGAAACTTTCCATTTGTAGAATTAAGAAAGCGGAAAGCTTTCCCAGAAAGCAAAAGAGCTCTGGGGCACTACCCTGCTATTGATGGGTATCAAATGCAAGATGTTGTTGTAAGAATGTGAACCAAATGTGCCATCCAAATATGCAGCATATTAGTGCTTCAACCAGCTGAAACCTCTAGGCTACTGCAACATTTTCAGTTTTTAGAATTTCCAGATCTGGTTAAAGATGCATAGGGCTGCAACTTTGGAGAATTTTGGACAATTTGGATAATATTGTGAGTACTGTAGAAATTTAATTAAAAAAAGAATTGATTAATGGCCAAAGTTATATGGTTTCAGGATTTATGAAATAGGAAATGCAGCTCATAGAACATGTTCCCACAATAATACAGTAATGGTGAAATGTTAAATTGTAGTTTAGTATTTTGATACGTAACTTTTGATGTGCTCTGTTTTCAGGCTTAAAAGGACATCCCCTACGGCTTATTGTGACTGCTGGGAGAAATGTAAATGCAAAACTCTGATTGCGGGACAAAAATCTGCTCGTCTTGATCTACTCTATAGACTACTTACAACAACCAATCTTGTAACTCTACCAAATAGCAGGTAAATATTCCTTTGTGGTAATGTGGTACAACTGGATGTAAACACATAACTCAATCCATTTGTTACCGTTCACTTTATTCTCCAGGTGCACGGGGTCAAGTTTCTATGGAAACTGAATCTGCTGTTCAGTTGAATTACATCTTACTGCTTTTCACACAGAGGTGAGGTTGAAGAGGCTCTTTGGCTGATTTAATCTCATCCTCTTCATCCTAGTTATTGATCCAATGAATCATTGTTGGACACCCTTGAGGCTAGCAAATCCTTCCTAAGATTGGGTGCTCAAAACTGAACACAGTACTATAAAAGGATGTCTGCCTAGGACTCTCTTGAATTGGAGCACTTCCTTTTATGTTCCAGACTTTTGTTATAAAGCTCAGCTTTATTGATTGTTTTCTCCACCTGCAAAATAGATTTTAATGATTTTGTGGCTTTATGTTCTTTGTCTAATTTAGCATCTTGAATACATCTAGAATGTCTTATAATCTATAAGGTCTTCTATACAATGTTTCTTTAAAGGCTGATAAATCCTAGATTAATTAATCGTTTCTCATAGTTCATTGTTCTAACATTGGGAATCATCCTTGTTGTTCAACATTCTTGTGACCAGATTTTTGAGTGGATACCAAATATCTTCTACCCTACATGTAACTCCTTTCTAGAATTGAGAAATTTGCATTCAGANTTTTTTCCATGCAGGGGTGAACATCTACTGCTGTTCCTAGTACAGACTGTTGCTCGGCAAACTGTGGAGCACTGCCAATATCGGCCACCACGAATACGAGAGGACCGGAACCGCAAAACTGCAAATGTTGAAGGTTTGTGGCAGCACACAATCAAATTTTATTTAAAATTACTCAATTTTCTATAATCCAATAACCACTTGCATTTATATAGCGCCCTTCACACAGGTAGTGCCTCAGAGCTCTTAACAATGGCAGAGTTTGATGCCAAGCGGGGAGAAATGGAAGGTGACCTTCAAACTATTTGAGAACATTTTGTAAAGCATGCAGAATTCCAATGCAAATTAAAATATCTTTCGGAAAATTGTAAAGATTAAGGTTTAATTTTTTTCTTTCCCCATACACACATAGTTAAAAATTGCAAATGAATTTATATTTGTCTCCTTAACTTACCCTACTGTTCCAAACTGCATTTTGTTTGTGGCACGTTTGTAAATTGTGTCTAGAAAATTGGGAAATCAAAAATCATAGCTCTGTATTGGAAGAGATCATATCTATTATGCTTTGGATCTAAAGGTTAAATATTTATCTTTCAAAAGCATTCCATCATATCCATGAGGAGACCTGACAGTTTGAGTGTAGTAAAAGTCCTGTGTTCATTCTAACTTCATTAACAACTTTACTAGTTTGGGTACTGGTTTTAATCACAGACTAAACCAATATGGACTGATCGCAGTATATTATTGTCAATTATTTTTCTTAATGGTAAGTAAATGAGCAATAAATTGTGTGGCATAACCACACATCAATGAGTACAGTTTAGTTTCATTGGAATTCTTGCCAATACTTGCAAAATTCCTGAAGTTTTTGTGATGGTAATGCATGATGTAATACAGAGCATGCCTATTAAAACACATCCTGGTTTGCAAAGAGTACAGGTTGTGAAATTATTTCTGGCACTTCTTGTACATAGTGTGCATGCAGTGACATCAGAGCCACTTCTGGTGCTTAGGGCTTGATGTCAATGGCAAACTGACGACTCTTTTGGATACCTCTGGCCATCAAAAGAAAAAGTTGCTGTCTATGCACTTTCAGAAGGCAGACTAAATTGGTGGTGTATTTAATTTGGGGCTGTCCTCTTATACGCTACACGCAAAGATCAGTGTGCCATGCCATCTTGCTTGTTTTGGCGTTCTTTCTGCCTCCCACTACTTGTATTTTGAGAGATTCTGACAGTCCTTCCCAGGATCACAAGTTGATAAAGGAAAAATGCAGTAACCTATCGAAAAAAGTTTGTTTTTAAAAAGGTTTAACTTAAGCTGGTTTTAGTTAACTATAAGTTAATGTTTGATAGTTGTTTCGAGTGCTTTGGGAATGCATTTCATGAAAGTAGAATGAGAGGAGTGGATTTAATACCCAATTGAAGGAATTTGTATAACTAGTTTGAATGAGATAATATTTTTTCAAATTAATAAAGCAACTTATGGTAACCCTGCATGCCAGAGCTACCATACTTGTGGAGTCCACTGCTTAAGTGGCAAGATTGGATCCATAGGTTTAAGTGTTGATGAGAAATTGATTGCAATTTTTTTGTTCATCCTCTCTCAGATTCTGATATGCCTGATCATGATTTGGAGCCACCTAGATTTGCCCAACTGGCCCTGGAGCGTGTCCTTCAGGACTGGAATGCTCTGAAATCTATGATCATGTTTGGTTCGCAGGAAAGCAAGGACCCGTAAGCATATTTGACTTGGATTTTTGCTGCATTATTGTATAGAAATGAAGAAAGGTAAATAAATTCTTAGCTTCTTTTTGTAGGCTCAGCGCAAGCAGTAGGATTGCTCACCTCCTACCAGAAGAGCAAGTCTACCTTTCTCAACAGAGTGGTACAATCCGGCTGGACTGTTTTACACATTGCCTCATTGTGAAGTGTACAGCTGATATTTTAGTAAGTACTTTTTTGGGTGTTAAATGGTTTCAGCACTTTGCAGTTGAATGGTTTTTGTTTTAATGGCTAATGGATGATTTGCAGAGGGATAATGCAACAGCATTTACTCCAAATGAGCTCTTAAAACTTTGAGTGGCAAGTATATTGGAGGCTAGATTTACATTGATATAATTTGGACATTGATTTTTTTTATCTAACGGTAGGGGATGTCCGAGAGAAGAGACGTCATCCATCTTTGGTGTACCACGTTTTATTAAGATTACCTTTTTAGTGGCCAAATTGAAAATCAGGTTTCACTTGTGTAGTTTTTCCTACGTGGTATTTTCAAATGTGTACCAAACCAATATCTACATGCTTTATGATGTACTGAATCTTTTAAAAATATTTTGAAGCTTTTGGACACTTTACTTGGAACGCTGGTAAAGGAGCTGCAGAATAAATATACACCAGGGCGTCGAGAGGAAGCCATCACTGTCACCATGAGATTTCTGCGCTCGGTTGCAAGAGTGTTTGTCATTCTTAGTGTAGAAATGGCTTCATCAAAGAAAAAAAAGTAAGAACAGTATATTTGCATAGAGAAATGTGATGCAAACTTGTGCATGTATCTTTAGTTATGAATAAAAATTAATATGCTCAAATCTAGATCTTACCAGAAATGTGAAATAAATATTGTAAATTTGGAACTAGCTTTTGAAATTTTATTTTAACAAGTGTAACAAATTAATGTGCAATAAGTTTGTTTTAACTGGAATCGACTCTTCATTCTGGTTACCTCACAATAGAATTTACCATTAATCTAAGGCTTTACTTAAAGTCTGTTTAGCTGAATTACTGATAAACTGCATGCATTTCCTCAAAAGTTAATTTCATTGTATGTCTTGACAAATGTAACTAGTGTTTAATTTAATTGTGAAATCCTTTACACTTTTAGATTTGTGGTCACTATTTTGAATATCCTCTATCTTATCTAGATGGGTTCATAGGTACCAAATAAATGAAATGACTTCCAACAGTTTCTCCATTCTTGTTTTTTAGCAACTTTGTACCTCAACCAATTGGCAAATGCAAGCGTGTGTTCCAAGCTCTGCTACCTTATGCCGTAGAGGAGTTGTGCAACGTAGCAGAATCTTTAATAGTCCCTGTTAGGATGGGTATTGCACGACCTACGGCTCCCTTTACATTGGCAAGCACTAGTCTAGATGCTATGCAAGGCAGTGAGGAGCTGTTCTCAGTAGAGCCACTTCCTCCAAGGCAATCATCTGACCAATCTAGCAGGTAATATTTTCATAAAGCCTTGTTTTATGCCTTTTGAAACAGTAAGTGTGTAAATGTGTGTACTTTACAGTTTTGCCTGTTGAATGGTGGTGTGTATTGTTCTAGTAATTTGCCATCTTTTACAGTTCTAGCCAGTCGCAGTCTTCCTACATCATTCGCAATCCACAGCAGAGGCGTATTAGCCAATCGCAACCTGTTCGTGGCCGAGATGAGGAACAAGATGATATAGTGACAGCTGATGTGGAAGAGGTAGATTCGTTAACTTACTTTGTAAAGGTAGTTGACTGTAGAAAAAGAAGTTTTACTTGATAATTATAAGCTATTTGAGGAAATAACTTCAAAGGGAATGCAATGGATATTTTGTATGGGTTTTCAAAAAGTGTAACTGAAGAAAAGAGGCTTGAAGAAAATAAAGACACATGATATGGCAGTAAAGGCAATGTGGCAACTCGGGTGGAAAGTTACCTAAAGGATTGAAAATGAATTGGGTTAAAGAGATGTTTTTTTAGTCTGAAACGATGTAAAAGGTGTCTCTTAGCGGTTAGTGATAAGATCATTGTACATTGCTTTTTTTGGCATCAGGTGTCTGACACATACAGAAATCATTATCATGCTTAATTGAAATGAGTTCCATACATGCATGCACTTTCTCTTTGCCTGGAATGGAGTACCGCTGTGTCCTTGGTGGAATGCATTCTACTTATATAATTGTCCAATTATATATAAATTTAAATGATCTGGATTCAGGGATAATGGTGTAAAATATCCAAATTTGCAGATGACACAAAATAGGGATCTGAAAAATTAAACCATGCAATTGCTTCTCGGCTCTAGCGACTAAACGAGTTCTAATAGAAGTGTACTTCACTGAAGAATCCTTCAGACTATGTATATTAAATTATTCCTCGTTGGAAAACATGTCTATTTGCGGCACCTAACTTGTTTAAAATCATTTACTGAAGCAGCCAATGAAAATCTGAATTATAAGGTGCCCTTATTTTTCAGTCTACTTGAGTATCTAGCTATTTACTATGCTTGTGGCTCAGTTTCTGTATGGTTTTCACATGACCTTGTACTGTGTTCCAGGTTGAAGTAGTGGAGGGGGTGGCTGGTGAGGAAGATCATCATGATGAACAGGAAGAGCAGGGTGAAGAAAATACAGAAGCAGAGGGACAGCACGATGAACACGATGATGATGGTATAAAATTTATGATTTAGATCTGCGCAATTTACAAAATTCCATTCCAGGTATTCCAGAACACTTTCTGCAGAACAAGTAGAATCAATCTAGTAGTTTCTTGCTAATTTGAAGCAGGTAAAACAGCAACATCCACTGATGTAGTGGCTTGCAAGTAAGATGAAAGGTCTCGAAGCATTTCACAAAGACGATGGAGATGCCCAAGTAGGGAGATGGGAGGTTTAAAGATGTTGACCAACAGCAAATCTTAGCTGCACGCAGTGCGAAATTGAGGAAAATCAGTATTAAAATACTAAAGATATTCTAAAATCCTGATACCCTAATATGTCTAAATATTTGGGAAAATGTGAAGCAACCATAAAGCATTTTAATAATTGTAATAATCTTTACATTTTAAAATGGATCTTATCCACAGCCTGTACCATTTTTTATACTTCTATTTTCTGATCCCCTTTGTTTTAGTGTCCTTTTAAATTTATATTTTAACAATTGTTTAACTTTTTTCTTTAAAACATTACTTACATTTCTACTTTCTTCCAGCACCCACTGTCCCATTTTATTAGTAGGAGAAAATATTTATGGTCAAGAAAAAAACTGCACCCAACAAAAAAAGCTAACATATCATAGATCTGACCAGACCAATTAGGAAAATCAGAAAGTGAGATACATAAATGAGTCTTGGTGGTGCACAAATGGATAAACATGTGGTACTGCATTGTAGGAGGTGCCGTACTTTGGATGAGACATTGAACCAAGGCCCCATCTGGTTATTAACTGGACGTTAGGATCAAGAAAGAAATAGGTTTCTCCAAACGGTCTGCCTTAGCTGACAATCCAACAATTAAAATTGCACTTGATGGCTGTTTTGGGGATATTACTGAGTGCAAATTGGTTACCATTTCCAACCACAAAATACAGTAACACAACTTTATAGCGTATCTTACGAAGTGCTTTGAAACATCCCCTGCATGTGAAAGGTACTATGTCAAACAGGATCATTATTTGTTTGCTGATACTGTCAACATGAAAATAACTACTGAGCAAGGTATAGGAAGATTGTCTACAACTGTATTCAAGTATGGTGTGTGGAGGGGGGGAGCAGCAGAGGGTGCAAAATTTGGTTAAATGAGCGTAGCTTATGACACATGCTTGCCATGAAGTGGTAAATGTGGATTCAATCTAACTGCTCTTAATTTAGTGATTTAGTGAATCTATTACTTCGGTAATGAACCCTAGGCATCTTCCCATATGAAAGGAGAATTGGCGAGAGCTGCTTTTATGCAATCCATTAACGACCACCATCTGGAGCAAGTCATCCAGTCATGTGGTGTTCTGCTCCTCTTCAGCCAACCCCCGTATACCCACATGAAGAATGTCCGCAACATAAATCCATACTTATTTTGGGGGTACAAGTTTTAAATTTTGGAGGTTTATCTGAGTATGTAAAGGAACTTCTGCATTCTGAAGATTCATGCTGGAGTTTGTTCTTTTGTATTGTATATGATGATCTTGTTTGACCAGGGAGTGACATGGAGCTTGATCTGTTGGCGGCAGCAGAAACCGAAAGTGACAGTGAAAGTAACCATAGCAACCAGGATAATGCCAGTGGGCGCAGGAGTGTTGTCACCGCAGCTACGGCAGGGTCTGAAGCAGGTGAATTAAATTACATTTAATTAGAAATTTATAAATAAACTGCTGCATAAAGTATTTTCTGCGCTTCCCCCCCCACGTATAAAATGGAACATCTTACAAATGTTGAGGTTCATTTCCCTGCTGTTGTGTGATGGCCACAATGGCAGATTTTACACCTGATAACTTGTAACACTGCAGGGTAACCAAAAAGTTGTGATATCATTACAATGTCTAAAGCTTAAAACAGTTATGATTTTTTTCAGATGATGGGATAGTTATTACGACTTTTTGGTCACCCTGTATGATCATTGCAAATAGCATTAATGCGAAATTGTGCTGGTAATAGAAGCCTTGTATAACCATTGGGCATCATCTTCAATTATAATGTTTACCTCGGGTTTCTAATTGTGAATATGCAAATCTCTCTTGAAAGCCAGCCAATTGTTTTCCTTTAGAATTGTAAAGCTATTCTTTATCTGCCTGTTCCTCTACAAGTGTGCTTTTTTTCTTTATAATGTTATTCATCTATCATGGCTTCTTACTAAGGTGCCAGCAGTGTCCCAGCATTCTTCTCAGAAGATGATTCTCAGTCCAACGACTCCAGTGATTCTGACAGCAGTAGTAGTCAGAGTGATGATGAAGAACAGGACACGTTTTTACAGGATGAACCTTTGGAAAGGACTACCAACAGTTCCCATGCAAACAGTGCAGCTCAAGCTCCACGCTCCATGCAGTGGGCTGTGCGCAGTACACAGAACCAAAGGTCAACCAACACAACTCCATCTAGTACTAGTGCTCCTGCAGGTAAGTTATATTGGAGAATGCTGTTCATTATTAACTATTCAAAACCGCTTCCAACATATTCCTATGCAAATAAGGGCATTAGATGTTAGTGAAACGTACAATTGCCTCTGATATTTATTCCTAAATTCAGAAATCTTTAGGAATGTAAAAAAGATGAATGAGCAGTGATGCATTTTTATTCTGACTGGACTATTTTTGGAAAATTGTGTAAAGGGCCAGTTTTGATCGGTTATAGAAATGTCTCAAAATTGCTACGTGAAGCCTGCATTTGATTTAAATTAGTATATTTTTTGTTAGTGAACAAATAGTCTGATCATTTTGTTTTGCAGGCGGCTCAGCGGGTTTGATTTATATTGACCCGTCCACTTTACGGAGAAGTGCCACCATTAGTACAAGTGCAGCTGCGGCTGCTGCAGCCCTGGAAGCCAGCAATTCCAGTAGTTATCTCACATCAGCAAGCAGCCTGGCAAGAGCCTATAGCATTGTCATACGGCAAATCTCGGACCTCATGGGTTTAATCCCAAATATAATCACTTGGTGTACTCTCAAATACCAGCTGCCTTGAAAATAACATACCAGGATGCCATTAACTTGCAGGTTTGTTCTATCAAGTAGTAATAAAGTAAGAGGATGGTTTGAATGTCGCAGTACTAATTAGATTTTTTAAAAACCTTATGCATATAATTTACTAAAAAGCAAATTTACTGCAGTTGCTGTCAACTGCTGCAGAAGCACATATTACATAATTATTGAAATGTATAGCTTCCCAATTGTTGAGTCTTCACATACTCGTCTGCCTTATTTTTTAATATTAATGTTAACATAATAATGTTATCCAAACTGGAAAGGAGAAGAGAACCGTAATTTCTGTCCCTTTTTAAGAGTTTAGCACTACTATGGAATAAGAGGAATGAAGGAAAATGCAGGGAAATGGAATTAAAAGACTTACCACAATTTGAAACTGGTAGGAACAGACTCTGCTGAAATTGCTGCCCCCTGTTGCTTTACCAACCCAAATAAAGGAAGCCCTACCACCAGAGTAGGAAGCTCACCAATACTGTGGACCAAAAATGTACAAAGAGAATAACATTTTAAAATAAAGATCAAAAATTAGGGGGAATGATTGTTCACAAAGATCCCACGTGAGCTTCTATCGCATGTAAGCAAAAAGCTGCAACAGCTTGAACCTTCAACAGACCTCAGGAAAAGGGAGGGCAGGAAGAACATCACCAAGGCTTTTATACTTTCCAAATGTTCAACTCCATTTTAAACATCCCAATCAACTTTATCAGTATGATCTTCTAGAACAGTACGTTTTGCATTCATCTGTTTGAAGAAATGTTTTTTGATCTCACTTCTAACCATCTTGATTATAATTTTAAGATTGTTTTGGATCCCTCAACTATGTTGATAGGAACATCGTCTATAATATGAGGAATTTACATAATTAGTCTGAACCTTCACAGTTTAAGATGACTAGCATTAATGTTGCTATGTTTGTCTTGTTTTCTTTTTCTCCCATCCCCCAAGTTAGTATCATTTATAAGTAGTGACTGTACAAATAGTTGATACTCTAAATGCATTTCAGCATTCATAAGGATTTCACTCTGTTCCTGTTCTAATGTGGTATGCACTCAGTTTCCTTCTTGTGTTAACTTTTTAGTGTCCAGCTTTTTCCTTGCTCCTTGGACCTTTTAAATGTGTGCTCCTAGGATGATTATACACTAAGCAGTGAAGGTTGCGTTTGTATTGTAGTCTGTGTGTAATGCAAATTCTTTTCAAGGGGCAAAATATTAGTTTCTTCATTTTACTTTCCTCCTCACCTCCCACCTGGGCCAGTTTAGATGAGTATTCACGTGTTCATGGACTTGTTCGTGGACTGCATTTAAATTAGATACAGATGGTAACTAAAGTATAGGTATAAATATCAAGATGTTACATATCTATTCGGTAAACTGCTAAAATTATAATATACAATGATTTTAAGTCAACTGGATTATGATCTGTATTTCTATAGAATTACGTGGAAGAGAAGCTCATGCCCACATGGAACTGGATGGTTAGCATCATGGATTCAACCGAAGCTCAGTTACGGTATGGTTCAGCGCTGTCTTCTGCTGGGGACCCTGGTCATCCTAGCCATCCTTTACATGCATCTCAAAATTCTGCTAGAAGAGAGAGATTAACAGCACGAGAAGAGGCCAGTCTAAGAACGTTAGAGGGAAGAAGGTGAGCTCATGGTTCATGAATTCATACCTGCAGTTTATTAGTCTGATAACTATTTCTGTCCCAAGTTATTGTAATAGTTTCTCCCAGATAATTGGCAGGCTTCTTGTTTTCTAGTAAATTTGGTCTTTGAAGCTCATAGAATCTCTTGAGGGATGTCACTCAACATAAAATTAATTTGACTCATCAAACTGATTGTGACCTATTCTAGTTAGCTCATCAAGTTCCTATTTTAACCAAGATAGTGATGAAATGCAGCACTGAAATCAATCTGAGCAGGGCTTTTTGGGGAGAAGGGAGGGCTCACTTCAATTGAAATTAGTTGAATTCATGTTAGCCATTAGTCATTAGCTCAGTTTGACTTGATAACCACAGTATTCTAGGAGACTAAAATGACTGCCTTTGCTTTCCTGTCTTTGATTATTTCGTTTTCGTGCTTTATTTCTCTTGCATGGCAGAATGAGTACAAGGCAACCTACTCTAGGTCACGACACTACCTAAATTTCGTTACCTTAAGCTTGCTACTAAATGTTTGTTCCTTAAATGTGTACTTAAATGTTTCTGTAATTAGTGGATAAGTACAAGACAGGCTATGTGATACACATAAAAACACTATGTTGTGGAATCTGAAGGGTGATGACTCATCATTGGTCTTTCATGTTGGTAATAACCCAATTAATAAGGCGGATTGATTGAACAAATCGGTCAATGCTTGTTCCCTGCACTGTTAGCATGCAAGTATCTACTTACAAAGTACCTTCATCAAGTATTCAACTATGTATACACTTTAATAAATGGGTTTAGTTTTCATTATTTTGGTCCAGTTTTTTGTGAATGTTGGCTGTCAGTGTGGAGTCATTTGGGACATTTTAAAAAAGAATTGGACAAACCATGTAGGTAGAGGGTAATAAAAAGAGCAGGAAATTGGGATTAGAATGAATAGCTTCAAGGAAGAGTAAATATCAGTGCAAAAAAAATTGAAAAGCCTCCTACTGGGTTGTACATTTTTGTGGTTCTAAGGTTAATAATGGCCGGGAGCCAGTGTTTTTGAATCCCTGTTGAAGCATATATTGTATGCCATGTCAGAGTATTTTAGTAGTAAATTCACATTAATCTTTGCTAAAATTGTTGCCATGCAAATCCCACTGACACTTTATGCAACCCTTGTTGAAGGTTGCACAACGTGTCAGTGGAATTTGCACGGCAGAGCTTTTAAAAATAGATTCAGCAGTTTTCCTCCAATATTTTTAATGCAACAGCCAAAGTAGAAACCAGTATCAATTTAAATTGGCTTGCAAACATGGAAAGTATTTTAAACCTGAGTATATTTTAATGTAGTTGAAGATTGTGTTGTTAACCAGTAATTTTTTTCTCACACAGACGTGCAACCTTGTTGAATGCGCGTCAAGGAATGATGTCAGCCCGTGGTGATTTTCTCAACTACGCACTTTCTTTGATGCGTTCACATAATGATGAGCATTCTGATGTCTTGCCAGTGTTGGATGTTTGTTCATTAAAACACGTAGCATACGTTTTCCAGGCACTTATTTATTGGATTAAAGCAATGAATCAGCAGACAACATTAGATACACCACAGCTGGAACGAAAAAGGTAAAATTATATTTCTTCAATTGGGATAAAATAGTTATATTTATAAACCATTTGAATTTCTTGTAGATTTTTAGTTGTGCGCTTGTGGAATTCAAACTAATCTTAAAATAAAGAGACTGTTTGGAACATCTATGTTTGTTTCTGCAATCCAACTCCTCTCATTCCTCATTGGAAAGAAAATCATGACATTTTTTTAAATGTCCACGATCCAAAATTGTTGAGAGGAAAAATGACAATTTAGCGAAATTCTTTGAGAGTTTGAACTCTTTTCAAGGTGGAGATTATTTGTCTTATCTGAACACAGTTATCATTTGCAGAAGGTGAAATCTATTGTTTTGCTGGAAGATCTGCTATACCTCAAACATAAAATTATTTTTACAGATAATATTCTTAATGTGTTATATCCCTCCCTGACTTGAACTGAAAATTGGTACCTGCCCTTTGCAATCGATTTCTTTTGCCGTCCCAAGCTGCACAGTAATAACTGAACTCAAAGTGCATATTGTGCCAAAAACCTTCATTTGACTTTGGAGTATACAGTAAATCCTGTTAAGACACTTCAATGACTTGACAAGGCACTATATGCAAGTTGATTATTAACCAAAAATGATGCCAACGTGTCATAAATGCAATTTGTTGTTGTGATAACTATTTTCACCGTTGGCAAGTGAAAATATTGAAAACATGTCGACTATATTTCCTTGAAATAAGTGTATAAATCTGACTTTTTATAGAACTCGAGAGTTGTTGGAGCTGGGTCTTGACAATGAGGATTCAGAGCATGAAAATGATGATGATACGAATCAAAGTAAGCATTATTGCCCATAGTGTGAGCCTGTGGACCATTTCCAAAAGACAACCTCGCCGGTTCTCTCCTGGACTTCCGTTATGAATAATCTACTTTCCTTTTAACCACAGAGTCTGCCTGTGAATTGCCTTTATTAATAATACAGCATTATATAATTATATAATGCTTCCTGTGATGCAATAGATAAATGCAGTGGTTGATTTCTGCATTGCAGTAGGAAGTGTCATCTGCCATCTAGCTTTGTTCAAAGTCCATTAAAATGTTGCACTTGCAGGCATTGAACATAACTCATTTGTTCTCATTTATGCACACAAATAAATCTCAAATCTTTCCCCATATAGTGGGCCATTTCCGTTGGTTCTCTCCCATAAACTAGTTTGGACTTATCACCAGTTGGCTCAATTATCAGCCAATTCAATCCTTAGCTAGGTTGATTTACTTCTCAGCTAGTCTGATCACTCCTTCAGACCTCACTTTTAACCTTTTCACTCTTTGTAGCAGAGACCCATGTGCTAAATGAACACAACCTTTTTCATTCATTGTGAATGTATCTTTCTGTGCTTGTTCCATTGCGCACTTGAAAAATCTCCCATTTGCCGATTTCCAGTTTCTTTTGCGATCTTATCCCTTCAAGTTATTTGTACTAATTTCTCTATTGCCATAACATTCACCCTTTTCCAGTTGATTTTTTGTCTGTTACTTCTCTGTTCCTAGTTTGGCAATTAATGAAACTATATATTGGTGGTTTTCTATCTTGTTATTGGGTTTGGTTCATGTCCCATAGCCAGGAGCAGCATTGCCTCTTTCCTTGTCTGACTTGCTGTAGGTAACTGTCCTGAATACACCCCATCAGCTCCCCTGGTTTGTTCAGAAACATTAGGTCTCTTTGAGGCCTTTTGGATAATTAAAATCCCCCCAAATTACTGCTCCTGCTAGTCTTTTTTAACTGCCTATATATCACTTCCTCAATTTCATGTTCACTATTGGGTGATCTGCACTGCGCACCCACTATTGTTCTCAACCCTTTTACCCAAATTAACAGTTGGAATATTGTGCCACCCTTTAATGTCATGTTTTTCTTTATAGCCTCTAACGTTGCTACCCCCTTCATAACTTCCCATTCTGTCCTGAAAATTCTATGGTCAGGAATATTTAATTCCGCATCTCGCTTGCCTGAAGCCATGTTTCTGCCAAGGTTATGACATAGATTCCCACGCTATAATGCTTCCTAACTCATTTCAGTCACAAATTTGTTTAGAAATGTTACACCTCCATCTTCATTGGCCTCTGTATTTCTTCCAATTTCTGATCTATTACATGCTATGTACTGAGATAGCCTTTTTTGGCCAATGAATACATGTGCCTTGGTGAATACCTTTTTTGAGTGTTTTTACACTTAGTTTAATCCTGTAGGATATGTTGAATTTTTAATAAGAACTTGCATGTCATTATTGAAGTGATTAGTAATGACGGGATTAAAAATTGCTACGATTCGTGTTTTGATTTGGGGGCTTAATCTTCAGGTGCTGGTCTGCATGACAAGGATGACGAATTACTGTCCACAGAGGCTGGTCAGAACCATCCATTCTTCCGACGTTCTGATTCCATGACCTTCCTTGGCTGTATTCCTCCAAATCCATTTGAAGTTTCTTTAGCTGAAGCAATTCCACTTGCAGACCAACCTCACCTTTTACAGGTAATATGGCAGCACTGAGCTATACTTCTATGAAACCATTTTAAGCTTCAATGACACTTTATTGTAAAGGGCTTTCTAGCATTTGCTGAAATTGTTTCTTGTAAAAGTTAAGCCTCAGTCTGAGAAACCTTTCATTGTAGAAGAATGGAATTCTCTTTAAAAGGGAATGTAAATGACTATAGCTGTTCAGTTCTTCTTTTATCTTTCTGTAGCCCAATGCTAGAAAGGAAGATTTATTTGGCCGTCCAAGCCAAGGTCTATATTCGTCATCTTCAGGCCTTGGAAAAGGTGTAACAGAAGTAACTGTGGATAGAAATTGCCTAGAGGTGAGATTCATGGTTTAATCTGGTCTTCAAAACAAACCAGTTTTCTCATGTGTGAAGCAGCCTTGGTTCTGCTGGTTCATTTAGTACTGGGTCATATTGGTATTAAACGGTAGCCTTTCAAATTGTGTAAAACTTGCATTATAGACTGCTGTTCAGAAAAGGTGTTTAAAAGCCACTTCATGGCTGTTTGTGGAACATTGTGTGTAAATTAGCTGCCAGTAAATCCTGTGAAGCCCTTTGAGACATCCTCCCAAAGTGAAGGTTTTATGTAAAATACAAGGATTATTATTAATATTTCAATCCTTGTATTTACTAGAAAAAGTCAGGTGGCAAGGTGATAGTCATGACTTTAAAAAGTGTAACGTTCTGTCTGCTTGAATGAAGAGAGCTCATTTGATTTTGTAACTTTTTTTAATAAACCTTTTCTAGCACTTGTAAACCACTTGCTCTGCCAACATCTAATTAATGTCCATTTTGGAAGTATAAATACATTTTTTAAATGGCTTTTCATTGGCTCAAATGCCCTTTAGAGCTGGTGTTAGTGCCAATGAAAAGCTGAAAAATGAATGAGACTATCAGGAGCAATCAGGTCAAAGATCGAGTCAAGCCAGAAAGCACGGACTAAATAAAGCACCACATGGAGCAAGTCTGAGGGTCTGGATGAGTAAACTCTTTCTCGGTGTTCTTAAGGGTTAACATTAGTTGTACTGCATAATGAAAATCCTGATATTGCAGATGTTTATGCGTAATATTCTGGTGGGTATTTTCTCTTAGAACCTACAGTCTTCTATATGTTAGGGTGCTACATACTGGGAAATCCATACCACATATTGGGAGATCCTCAGTAAAATGATTTTGGTTACACGAGAACTCCTGAATTACCACTGCCATGTTCTACAGCAGCACTTTACAACTACTGATGGTTTCTGTCCAATCTGATATGTCCTATATTTGTGTGAGTGTATCATTGGTCTGAAATCAAAGTTTAAAACAATCAAATGTTTAAATGAAAATGTGCATCCTTGTTGTCTCTCTATCACTCATACATAGTTTGAGCAGCCACAACTAAGGAAGGGCTCGATATCCTTATTTCAAATATATTAACTTGATTGTGTCACCACAGTAAAATCCCACAATCATATTTCGGTCTATATTCAAAGCACTGCTATTTTAGATTTGCTCTACTATTTTAGATTTTCTCTGGATTTTCTCGATTTCTCGCAGTAAATGTGCAGGTTTTTCATTCCAGTGAAAATCAAAAACCTATTTCATACTTAAAAGTGTTTTTGAGGTATTTTAAATTTAAACCCCATGGCGTTTTCAGTCTCAATACATTTCAAAGCGCTTTACAGAATTTGCAGTGAAGTGGAGTTGCTGTGTATCTTGTAGGCCAACGAGGCAGCCCATCGGTGCACAGCAATGTCCCACAAACATAGTCAATTCACTTTACAGTATATTCTGTGAAGCGCTTTGTGACGTCTAGAAGATGTGAAAAGCGCTTTATCAAATGCAAGGATTATTATTTTATGAAACAAATTACTGATTTGATTTGGAGATTAGAGAATATATACTTGAGCTACATAATGCTGTGGTCAGGCTGCACCTGGAGTACTACATATAAGTCTGACTGTTATCTGTCATTTTAGGGAACGTAAGCAGACCACAGGCTCCCAAATGGATCTCAACATTCATTTAATCCTTATTCCTATCGTAGTGTGTGGACATAGTTCCTAAATTGGAGTCCTTTCTGGTGCCTCCATATAGGAAGATATGTTGTGAACAGTTGGAATTATGAACTTTTTAAACTAAGTTTAAGCAAAGTGCAGGTTTTAGCTCTATCTTTGAACGAACAAACTGAGAAATGATGTTCTTTTGGTGATGGTTGGGGCATCCTAAAGTAATTCATTCATTTACCCTGTGTGTGGATACTCCTTTTATGGTTATTTTGTCCCACAAATTGAACATTTGTACCAACTCTTCTGCTTTTAAAATAGCTTTAAACCAAACATTGCTGACTTACTGCATTGTTGTGGTCCTGTTCAGGTACTGCCCACAAAAATGTCTTATTCTTCTAACCTGAAGAACGTTATGAGTATGCAGAATCGACAGAGGAAGACGACAGATGAGCAAGTATTACCAGAAGATGAGTCTGAAAATTCACGGATAGGACCTTCTGCTCAGGATCTTGCAGCACAATTGAAGAGTAGTTTATTGGCTGAGATTGGGCTCACTGAGAGTGAAGGACCACCTCTTACTTCATTCAGGTACCCGTTCTCAAGTTTTTTTTATATGAATCATATTTTCTATCAACAACAACTTGCATCTATATAGCACACCTCACGAAGGGTAGCATCACAGAGCGCTTGACAGTGGCGGAGCACAACGCCGGGCTGGGGGGGAGGGGGGAAGTGACCGCAGTTGTGGTTGAAGAGGAAGGTCTACAATAGGAAGGGAGCTACAATAGGCCTCTGTGCACCAGGTTGAGAGAGGGGAAAATCAGCCAAGGTTCCTGTTTGCGATCTAAAGACCCTTGCTGGAAAGTGCATGTCTGTGGATAAGGTTTGGGCTCGGTGCCCCTTACAGTCGAATAGCCTGTCATTGTCCACACATCAATAATGAATCCTTGTGCAAAGGTACTCGACAGTGACCTTCACTAATGGAACCATGCGCCAGTGGAAGGAAAAGGATGTCAAATAGCTTTAGGAGAGTAGAGAAACTGGTGGGGTGAATTTAGAAACTCGTTAGAATATTTAATAACATTCCTCAATACTAACAAATAGTATCTTCATACGTATTTTAGAAACTGGTCACTCTAGCTCATGATTTTTGTTGATTCCCAGACCACAATGTAGTTTCATGGGAATGGTGATCTCTCATGACATGTTGTTAGGACGTTGGCGTCTGTCTTTAGAACTCTTTGGGCGAGTGTTTATGGAAGATGTAGGAGCTGAGCCTGGATCGGTAAGGATTTCTTCATTTAAAGTATAGCATTCAAACACCAATATATAATACTGAATAATTTGGATAAGTGCTGAAAAGGACTGTTTTAAAACTTGATTCATCACTTTAAATAGTGCAGAATAAACTTCTCTTGTTTCCTCAGATCCTGACTGAGCTTGGTGGGTTTGAAGTGAAAGAGTCAAAATTCCGTCGTGAAATGGAAAAACTGAGAAATGCTCAGTCCAGGGATCTAACATTGGAGGTAATAAACTCTACTTGATTTCATGACCGCTGAATAGTACAGTTTCAGTACACTTCTTCCCCCAACATCTGTCAGTTCTGCTAGCTCTGGTTATAAAAGATTGTATTCTTATTTCAGCTGGAGCAAACCCGTATCTTATATCGGCCATTTTTTTTTCTACTAATTTTCTACTGCCCTCTCCCAGAAGTGGAGATGCAAACAGGCATCAATACTCTTCCAATAATTTATGTTCACTCTACATACTTAATGAATGGTCCTTTGGGTAGGCTATATTTGATGAGTAGTTGCATCATAGTTGAGATTGAGCCTGCCCTCATCTGAGGCCTGAACTTCCACCTTGTCAGCCAATTTTGTCTTGTACAATGGTGGAAAATTCTTACAGCATAGAGTTGGGCAAGCTTCCTTATTCCACATGCCTCTGTTTACCTAACAGGAATCCGGGTTTTTGTCGATTGCGGATCGTTTTTCCGGGGGTAATAATTCCTTCAAATAACAATAATAATAAATTGGTCACTCAAATCATGACTGTTTGTGAGACACTGATGTGCGCAATTTGGCTGCTGCGTTTTGCTCACAAAATATGCAGTCAGTTCACTTTACAGTATATTCTGTGAAATGCTTTGAAGATGTGATAAGGTGCTATATCAAATGCAAGGATTATTATTATAAACTGATTACAATAATGGAATTCTTCATTTGAAAACCAATTTTCCCCAATAGTTGAATAGAACCAGCTTCCAGAGTAGGACTGAATTTAAGAACTTTCTGCTATTCTATGTGGTAGGTCAGAAGGAAGTCATCAAACCTGTTCCAGTTTATTAGTTCATTGCTGATCTTTTATTCCCTTTTTTCCCCCCATACCCTTTATTACCCTTACTTCCCAAGTCTTATCGATTAATTCTGCTTCAATCAACCTCTGAGCGGTGCTTTTCACATTTTTACAACCTTTTAGGTGAAAAATATTTCCTAAGTGCTCCTGTAACTGTCAGATTGAATTTTAACTCTTGTTTTGGATCCGTCTGCTGGAGCTACTTTCTAGCTTGTCAATTCCCCTCATTATGTTTGAACCACTCAGTCAAATCATTCCTTAACCTCTTCAGCTGTAGGAAGTATATTCAAGTATATCCATCCACTCATCATAGCTAAGCCCCTTCATCCTAGCTATTAATCTTATGAATAATCACTGGTTGCCCTCCCAATGTTTATATATCATTTCTATAAGATTGCCTGCCCAAAACTTAGATACCGAGACTAAGTAGAATTTTGAACTTCAGTGTTACAAAATAATGGTCAAATTAGATATGGAAACATACTCCCATAAATTACGGTTAATGTTACATCTTTTGGGTTGGTAAGGTTCCTTTTTGGTGCAGACCCAATACCTGCTACCCTGTCTTGAGTTGGATTTAGATGGTGTTTTGACCAACTGCAGTATTGCATTATTGTAACCAGTTTACAGTACTCTATGATCCAAATTTGTTAGAAATGTCTGTTAGGTGTCTATGGATGAAATCGAATAACTCAGAGCTTCAATCTCTAAGGTTTGTGTCTTTCAGGTTGATCGTGATCGAGACCTCTTAATTCAGCAAACAATGAGGCAACTCAATAATCACTTTGGACGCAGATGCACTACAACACCAATGACTGTACACAGAGTAAAGGTTACTTTCAAAGACGAGCCAGGAGAGGGCAGTGGAGTGGCTCGAAGCTTTTACACTGCAATTGCACAAGCATTTCTGTCCAGTGACAAACTGCCAAACCTCGACTGCGTCCAGAATGCGAGCAAGGGATTACAAACCAGTAAGTGGCAATTATGCCCCACGATATATACACATGTGCACTGAGTTATTTGATTATCTTTGGACAGTTTGTTTAAAATTTAAAAATGGAAGAATCATTGTCCATGTATGGAATTGAGCTTTGTAAACTTTCCACAGTATTTTTCGTAAATTTAAAACACTAATTCCTATGTTTCAAAAAGATGCAAATACTAGAAATGCAGTTCATTCAACACCACTGTTAATCAATGTATAAGAAGCATTTTAGCTTCTGATCCAACTGGCCATGTTGCAGTATCAAGTCAGAATGTTGTGCGTTCCCGCCCTGTGTTGGGATTCTGAACTCCTTTTCAGGTGGACATAAAATAATTCCATAGACTATTCAAAAAGAGAAAGGAGTTTCCCTGTGATCTGGTTAACAATCTCCCAGATAAAACTGGTCATTCACTTCATGGCAATTTGTGGGTAATTACTCTACACAAATGTTCTGCTGCATTTGCCTATAAATAGTCACTACACTTTATAGAGTAGTTATCCTACATGAAGAGTGCGCTCCAAATGCAAGCTGCTGTATTGTTATGAATGGAAATTCTTTGTTTGTAAAATAGCTCTGCTCCTGATCTAGGTCTAATGCAACGACTGAGAAACCGAGAGAGAGAACGGGAAAGAGAACGGGAAAGGGAAATGAGAAGAAGTGGTGGAATGCGAGCAGGTTCTCGTCGAGAACGAGATAGGTGAGTGATCTTTAATTTGAAATTAATGTGTATATCTTTAAACCAGATCTATTCTTTAAGATACAAATGGTAAATGTTGTATTAGGCCATAACTAAGTTTGTGCAAATTCAAGGATGAGTGGAACGGAATAAACATAATTTGTCCCTTTCAGATTTTAAGTAAATTTTAATATAATGTGAAGTCTGTTTTATAAAATTAATTTCTAAACAACTGATTTTAACAAAATTATAAATTGAACGTCTATTTCACGATATGTGACGTTTGGATCTAATTTTGGTTGTGCTGTCATCGTCTGGGTTCAAACTAACTTCTCATCTTGGCCTGAACATGTTGCTAATTTGGTATCTAGTCAGTTCTCGGCAGTGAATTACATGAAGCAGGGGGCATTTTCATGATTTGATAAGGGCCTACATCAAATGCAAAGATTATTATGATGATTCTTACAGGGAGTCGAGAAGGCAGCTTTCTATAGATACCAGGCCTTTCCGGCCAGCATCAGAAGGCAATCCCAGTGATGACCCAGATCCACTGCCAGCTCACCGGCAAGCTCTTGGAGAGCGGTTATACCCTCGGGTACAAGCAATGCAGCCAGTAAGTATAATGCCAGCAAAACCTTTGTGTCTTTTAATATGTACCCTTAATGTGCAGCCCCTGATTGATGATGTTTGAATTGTTTTTGAAAAATTGCAAAAGAATAAATGGGATATATGATGCATTAAATATTAAGTGAAATAATTGTGCTATACTAATTGAAATTATTTGTTTCAGGCATTTGCTAGTAAAATTACAGGAATGTTACTAGAGCTCTCACCCGCACAGCTCTTACTGCTTCTAGCAAGTGAGGACTCTTTGAGAGCTAGAGTTGATGAAGCCATGGAGCTGATCATTGCACATGGAAGGTAATGAAAATGAGAATTCAGCATTGCCTAAACAATGATTATTCACATTCTGAAAAGAGTTGAATGTTCTTATCTTTCTTGCAGGGAAAATGGTGCTGATAGTATATTGGACTTGGGATTGCTAGATTCAACGGAGAAGACTCAGGTAAGAAAAACAAGTTGTGCACTCTTGTTCAGTATTTCACACCTTTAATAATTACATTTGGTATAGCACCTTTCGCTTTGGGGGGACGTCTCAAAGGACTTTATAGGATATTGTAAAGTGTAGTGGACTGTTCTATTGGCGGAACTTGGCAGCCAATTTGTACAAAGCAGTGTCCCACAAACAATATGAACAATTATTAATATACAGTATCTTTCTATGTAACAAGGCACCCTAGTCGAATGCCTTAAAGTTTGGGGTTTCAAGTAAACAGTTATTGAGTAAAGAATATAATAAGTGATTTTGTTTCCCAACGTGGGAGTTTATGTAACTAACGACTGTTATTTACCTGGATTTGTGGATTTGTTTTCTCTCAGTCTTCTGCAATTTTGTTTTTTATTCACTGCTACTGAGTGGATAAATGATTCACTAAAATCATTTCACTACTAAATGAATAAATATTTTATGAATAAATAAAACTATTACTTGACTTCCCAGGCCATGGTCGTTGGTTTTAAATCCTTTATTTTTGTTCCCGGCGTTAATGTATAACTCCTGTTTGTAGTTGTGATACACTGCAGTATAAGGGCATGTCTTTTGGCAGGGGGGTTCGGGGGAGGTAGAGGAAATGGAAGAGGGGAAGGAATCTGCATAGGCTAGCATAGCAGAAACAGAATTTTTCAGCAAAGAAATAAGCTGTTCTGCTACCTGTTTTTCTGTGTAATCTTTTATTAACTCTTTCCAGTTCCTTTCCTTAGTTTGGGTGTTCATTGTTAGCACTTGTTAGGTGTCCATTGTTAGTGTTCATTGTTAGCACTCGACCCGAGTGAATTGACTGTATATTTGTGGGCGAACACGGCAGCCAATTGCGCACAGCAATGTCCCACAAACAGTCATAGAATGAAAATGACCAATTTATTATTGTTTTTTTTTTAGAGGGATTATTATTAGGCGTGTGGAGCAAGGAAACTTGCCCAAGGTTTCGCCCTGCCTGGAATTGAACTCGGGTCTCTCGCTTGCAAAGCGAGTGCTCTAACCACTGAGCTACAAGGATTATTATTACAAGGGTGCCAAGTATTAGTGTTATTGTTCAATCCTTGTAATCCTTTGTTTTAGAAACCTTCTAAAATTTTCATTCAGCGCTCCTACATTTAGCCTTTATGGGGATACAATCGGTCCTGGTGATTTGTACACTTTGAAGTTCACTACGAATCGTGTTTTGTCTGTCATTTCTTTATTGGTGTCTATATGAAACAACTGTTCTTTCACACTCAACTCCCTTTACTGTAGTATAGAAGCACATAATGTATTTAGTATGTCTGCTATTTCTGTGCTCTCCCCAATAAATTGCTGGTAAAAGTGCAGCTGCATGTTTAAGAACTGTGGGTTATTGGTCTGCAGCAGGACACTAGAAAACGGCACGGCTCTAGTCGGAGTGTTGTTGACATGGAACTTGATGAGCCGGATGATGGCGATGACAATGCTCCGCTCTTCTACCAGCCCGGCAAGCGAGGGTTCTACTCACCAATGCCAGGCAAAAACACCGAGGCCCGACTCAACTGCTTCCGTAATATCGGCAGGTATGTGTGAAGTGGGATTTTCAGGGAGCTGTGCAACTAGCAGCAGAGCCTGTTCTGCTGGATACAATATAGATGCTTGTGCATAATGAACTGTTTTAACCATAACGCATAGCAATAATGGACTATTTTTCTTTCAGGATTTTGGGTCTGTGCCTACTACAAAATGAACTCTGTCCTATAACCCTAAATAGACATGTTATTAAAGTTCTACTAGGAAGAAAGGTAATTAAAGCCATCATTATTTAAGTAGGTTTATTATACATGTGTGTTTGTAGTATTGAATTCAATTACATAAAATCTATTTCTTTAACTTCTCAGGTTAACTGGCATGATTTTGCATTTTTTGACCATGTGATGTATGAAAGTTTACGGCAGCTCATCCTCGCCTCTCAGAGCCAAGATGCATATGCTGTCTTTGCAGCAATGGACTTAGCTTTTGCTATCGACCTTTGCAAGGAAGAAGGTGGAGGACAGGTATAATGGGCTTCAAAAGGTTCCTCAATTAAACCACTTCAATTTTAAACCTTTATGAATCATTGAACCTTGGTAATAAAGCAATTCTCTCCAGTACTGTGCTGGATTATCAATCTAAATTATGGGTTCTGGGATCTGGAACTTGAACCCACAACTTTCTGACCCAAAGACTATCAACTGAATAATAGTAATCCTTGTATTTGACATAGCGCCTTATCATGTCATTGAGATGTCTCAAAGCCCTTCACTGAATATACTGTAAAGTGAATTGACTGTATATTTTGTGGGTGCAACTGAGCAGCCAATTACGCGTGGCAGTTTCTAAAACTGATTTATAAAACATTATTAAACAGTTTTTAAACTGAGCCAAATTTCACATTTACTGTGCCTTGCTTTTATCGGAATACTCTGAACCAAAATTTAAAAATAGAACATGAAATTCTCCTTTATCTTCACTAAATGTCAGAGTGTTTTCCTGGAAACTTCTGAATGGTGTTTTCCTGTCTGCAGGTTGAGCTTGTTCCTGGTGGAGCCAATATCCCAGTCACTCCTTTGAATGTTTATGAGTATGTTAGGAAATACGCAGAGTACCGAATGTTGGTAGTTGCTGAGCAACCTCTTCATGTAAGTCCTTCCATTTTCAAACATTCGTGTGCTTATTTTATTGAAGAGTGAATGACAAATCTCGTTTGCACAGCTATGTACCTGGAATATTTTGGATTGTTATATAAAGATTTTCCAGCAATTATTGCTAAAGGCTGTGGAGTCCGTTGGAAATTCCAAAGATGAACTGGGAATGCTCCGTGTTTGTGCAATAAAATGAGCATGGATAAAAAATGTTTCCATAATTGCAAATATTAAAGGAGAGCCTGGAAAGTGGTCACAAATGTACAACACTTTCCCCTTTCTCTCCCTCCCCCTCCCAATTTGGAAGGGTTCTCAAAGTTGTGCAGTTCCTTAATTGGACTCCAATTGGGATGCCTTAACTTCAGTTTGAAATTGTATGGGAGCTTGTATACATTTTTAAATGGAGTCTGAATCCCAACTTTAGTATGCTTGAATGATAGTACAGCATGTTTCACATATTACTAGACATCAATCTTGTCTGACACTTTAAAGACACAAAGGAATAAATAATATGAACCGAATTAGTGCCTTAGCAAAGTCTGATCCCAGTTGTAGCCTCATTAGTGTGTCTGAGCAGAGTTTAAGCTTTTAGACTGCAATGTCAACACATCACAATGACCCCTATCAGATCATCAGTCTGTAATATAGTCATTTAGTAAATCCAGCTAAAGGTTATTTTTGTTCATTTCCATCAGAGGTGGACTGCTGTAATTCCTGGCTTCCTTTAAGTATGTCAAAGTTTCTGAATTTGTTGGAACTACTTGGTGGATTGTTTTTTTCATTCTTTAGTTACAATTTAAGGAACAGTAAAAGACAATGAGGTTCAGTGAGTTTGATATTTGATTAGATGCATTTTACTGCTGGTTACGATGTTTGTATTTGCCAAATTACAGGCTATGCGGAAAGGACTGCTGGATGTGCTTCCTAAAAACTCCCTGGAAGATTTAACTGCAGAAGATTTTAGGCTCTTGGTCAATGGCTGTGGGGAAGTGAATGTCCAGATGCTGATTAGCTATACATCATTCAACGATGAGTCTGGTATGCAATTGCTACTGAGTGCTCAACAGCCACAACAACAACAACAACAAATTACACTTCTATAGCGCCATTCACGTCGGAAAGACTTTCCAGGGCGCTGGACAATTGGGTTTTGGACCCAAGCTGGGGAGTTGGGGTCAGAAGGGAAAGAGGGGTGGGGGGTGGAGTTAAGGGTTTAGGGGTTAGGGTGGCTGAAGGCACGATCGAAGAGGAAGGTCTTCAGGCGATCCTTGAAGAAGGGGTGAGGCGGAGGGATTGCGGGATCAGTTCCATAGTGTTAGGGGAGGAAATGCTGAATTCCCAACCGCCATTGGTGGGGCAGGAAGTGCAGGGGACCTGAAGTAGGCCGGTGTCTGCCAAGTGGAGGCAGCAGACAGGCTGATATGGGATTATGAGGTCGTAGAGGTAGGGGGTGCAAAACTGTGGAGGACCTTGAAGGTAAGAACGAGGGTTTTGTAATTGATTCTCTGAGGAATAGGGAGCCAGTGAAGCCGGGCAAGAATGGGGATGATAGGTTACAGGAGCCTGGTGCGGGAGAGGACACAAGCTGCAGAGTTCTGCATAATCTGCAGCTTGTGGAGGGACTAGTTGGGAAGTACAAAGAGCAGGCGGTTGGCATAGTCAGTCCGGGACGTAATGAAAACATGGATAGCTGAGGGTCGAAAAGTACACCAAGGTTTCAGATTGGCTCAGCGAGGTGAAGGGTGCAGACATAAATGGTGATAGTATCAGCGGCTGAGGGGAGGAGGCGCTGCCGTGATCCAAGCAGGAAGGCCTCTGTGTTGCCAACATTGAGCTGGAGGAAGTTGAGTCTCGTCCAGGACTTGATGTCAGACAGACAATTAGCCAGGACATCAACGGTCCTGGAGTCGAGGGTGGAGGCAGCGAGATAGAGTTGGGTGTCATCCGCATACATGTGGAAATTGACCCCATGCCTGTGGATGACATGGCCGAGCGGGAGCATGTATAGATTGAAGAGGAGGGGACCGAGGACAGAGCCCTGAGGGACACCACACGTGACAGTGCGGGTGCTAGAGGAGAAGCTGCTGGTGGCCACGAAGTGCAGACGGTGGGAAAGGTAGGATTGGAATCAGACAAGAACAGATCCATTGAGGTGAAGGTGAGAGGAGAGGCGATGGAGAAGAATAGAGTGGTCAACAGTATCGAAAGCGGCCGATAGCTCGAGAAGTACGAGGAGACAAAGAGAGCCTTGGTTGCAGGTGGACAGAATGTCATTTGTGACTTTGACCAGGGCTGTCTCTGTGTTGTGGGCAGCACGAAACCCAAATTGGAGGGGTTCATGGAGGGAATGCTGGGAGAGGAAAGAGCGAAGCTGGGAAATGACGACTTGTTACATGACCTTTCATAGAAAAGGAAGGTTTGAAATGGGGTAGTAGTTGGAGAGCAGAAATGGGTCAAGGGACGTTTTTTTGAGTGTGGGGGTGATGGCGACTGTCTTTAGGGGGTTGGGTACGGTGCCAGTGGAGAGTTTAGCAAGGTCTGTTAGTAGGGGGGGCAAGGGAGGTTGGGAGGTGAAGAGAGGGTAGGGATGGGGTCAAGGGAACAGGTGGTGGGTTTCATATGGGAAATGATGGAGGTGAGTGAAGAAGGGGAGACAGGGTCAAACTTGTGGACGGAGGGATGAGGTGATGGGTTGGAAGGGGAGTGGGAGGTGGGGATGGGGTGCCAGTAGAGGGGGTAGAGGTGGCAGAACAGATCCCCTCGACTTTGGACTCAAGGAAATCCCTCATCTCGCATTTGATGTTGGAGGAGAGGATGGCAGAGGCATGGGAGGGTGCATGGCTGAGTTGGTTTATGGTAGAAAAGAGGAGTCTGGGGTTGTCCTTAACTTCCAAGATGATTTGGGAATAAAAGGATGATGTAGCTGATGTGAGGGCAGAGCGGTAGGTCTTGGTGCAGTCTGATGGTGAACCGTTAATTTGGATTTATGAGTGATGGTGACATCAGAGATGGTAAGGCCCCGAGTGATCATCAGATCTAGCGTGTGGCCATATATGTGAGTGGCGGAGTTGATGTGGATGGAGAGGTTATGAGAGAAGGGAGGAGAAGTCAGCAGATGTGGAGCAAGAAGGTCTGAAGTGGAGTTTAAAGTCGCCCAAGATGATGATGTGTTTAGAACAGACGCAGGGGGAAGAGAGGAAGGTGGAGATGTCAGAGAGGAAAGTGAAGGAGGGTTTGAGGGGATGGTAGATGAGGATTTTTAAGCAGAGATTGGAGGGATGGTAGAGCGAGGTGCTCAAATGAGGAGAAGGATCCAGAGGAGTAAGAGGATAGACCCAGTGAGGACCTGGAGATGAGGGCCACACCACCCCACGACACACATCACAGGGCGTGATGGAAGGTATAGCCAAATGGCGTGGCTTCAGTAAGGGGGAAGATGTTGCCTGGAGTGATCCAGGTTTCAGTGAGAGCAAGGATGTTGGATTTTTTTTGTGCACAATGAGTTTGTGGAGTTCGAGGGCTTTATTACTCAGGGAGCAGACATTTTGAAGGGCGATGTGGAGGGGACAAACAGCAGAGGAATTTGCAGGATGTAGTGGTGGGAGAGAAGGATTGGCAGGAAGAGTGGGAACGTGAATGAGAGAGGAGAGATTCACTCCCCGGGGCTGGGACCGATGGGGTTTGTGGTGAAAATAGAGGATGGAGCAGTCAGGTGGCTGCTGTTGGACAGTCATCAGCATGTGCCACGATGAGCCCGGCAGAGAATTCCAAGGCTGGAACAGAGGGAAGCTGTCGGTGGGTCCAGGGGGGAAAGGAGGCGGGGAGGACGGTAGGAGTGGAGGAGCGAGCAGGAGCAGTGAAGGATAGGTGATAGGAGAGGGGGAATGTTGGGGGGAGGTAACTCGGATCAGGGGCGGCAGCCAGATGCGCACGCCAAGACTGAGAGCAAGCGATGAGTCAGTGGGGCATGGTCAGCCAACAAACATGAGGCGGGGGGGGGCTGGAGGAGACAGCATAGAGTGGGGAGGATGACATTCGTGGCTGCACCAGAGCCAGAGTTGAGAAGGGTAATGGACTGGGTGGGAAAGGAGGAATAGTAACGGAGTAACAACTAAATTGTGTGTGAATTTTAAAAAACGGTGTGTGGAAGTGACGTCACGATGATGAGTTCAGCTGTTGGTCTAGGTGGGAGATTTTGAAATTGCGTCTCCGTCCCTGGAATCTCCTTGCCCGGGACACCGAAACCCTCGGCCGCCGCGCTGGTCACTGCCCGCTTGGCCCCGGCTGTGTACCGGTCGCTGACTCGCCAGGTGATCTTCGGCCTCAGTCCTCCCGCTCGGATACTGCTCTTGACCCTGGGCCTGTTTCCGAAGCCCTGCTGCTCGCTGACTCACGACTACAGGAAAATTACATCCAAGAAGATTAAACACGTTTGCAATTGGTTTGGCACTTTATCATGGTGTTCCAAATTACTTCACACAATGGGTTACTCTAAAATATAGCGACTGTTTCTATAAATGTGTTTAGAAATACGTGGGCAGTTATTCTGCAACAAGAAAAGCATCAATACGACGAATAACTACTAATTGTTTAACTGATTATTTGGTGGATTTTTAATGGGCAAAGACTATTGGCCAGGATTCTTTTTTAAAATCTTAAGAATGTTACAGCACACAAATAGACCATTCAACTCAATGAGTCTTAACTCATTTTTGTTTCCACGTGAGCCATTCTAATCTCTTGCCTGCTTCATGTACTCTTTAATATTCTTCTTTTAAGCATCAAATCCCCCTTAAATTCTGCTTCAACAACATTTTTGGTAGAGAATTCCACATCCAAACATTCTGTAAACAAATGTTTCTAATCCCTTTTTTGTAGTTTTTCTAAATTCTTTCTCCAGTTAACCAACCAGTAGAAATAATCTGTTGCTTTTTACTCTTATTATAGCCCTATAATATAAACCTCCCTGCTCTTTTAGAAAATAGTTTTGTAACATTTTCAAATCCCCTTAAGCAAACATATACATCCTTGGTCAGCACTAGGGTACAGTTTCCAGGGAGGCATTTTTCTGTGTGAGTCTTGAAGGTAATAAGCCTTGAACAAATAAGTTCATGTCTTTCCTGTTGGGAAGACATCTCAAAGCACTTCACTGGATTTATTGTAAAGTAGTTACGGTGTATTTTTTTTACATGATCACGCGATCCAAGTTTGAGTGTCAGCCTCGACTGTATGAGTTTGAAGTCCCAATGTGGAGCTTGAACCCATAACCTTTTGCTTCTAAGGCGAGAGTGCTACCAACAGCCAGGCTGATACTTGTATTCAATGTCCATGGCATCAACGGCCTGGAAGCTGTACCAGTGGCCATATATTTGCCAACCCATTTATGGTGCCTGAATTTTGGATCCGACATCGCATTACAACAGTTTCCCTGTTCTGCCCAGTAAAGTTATGGTACAGGTATAATGGGCCTTTTAGTGCTGAAATGTTTTAGTATACCTTTGCATTATTATCAGAATAAAGTACAATTTTTACTTTGTAGAACAAAGATAAAAAGTTCCTCCAGCACAAAACTCAGATTAATATTACATTGAGAGTATTTATGAATCTTAACTTTTATCAAAATTATTTTCTGTTGACAACAGGGGAAAATGCTGAGAAATTGCTGCAATTCAAGCGATGGTTCTGGTCTATTGTGGAGAAGATGAGTATGACAGAAAGACAGGATCTGGTATGACTATAAATTTGGGGAGGGGGAGGAGGTCAGGAGTTATTTTGCTCTCATTTTCCATCCTCCCTGTCTGCTGAAGAGCTTTTGATTCCATTCTCCTACTGAGCATGATTCCAGTAGTCAGCCCAGTTAGCACATTTATTCATCTTTTATAGTTTGGTATAACTTTATTCTGATTTTGACATTATTTTATAGTTATCGGTTTAGGCACTCCAAAATTTATTCCTACTCATCTTTATACTTTTTAAGGTTTAAAAATGCAACCAATTTGATTAGCTTTTGTCATGTTCTTGTATCTTTCTACATGTACATGGAATTACAATTGTGATCTCAGTGTGTGAGCAGGTTATTTGACAGTGCCTCATTATCAACTGCTGCCTCAGATAAAAATTAGCTAACTCAACACAGGCCACAAGTCAAACCTTTGTAGCTTAGTACTGCAACAAGTCTTTACTCGCTATACCATGGAGGGAAGTCAGTAGTTTTTTTTAAATTAAGTTCAGTGGCAAGTTGTTTCTCTTATTAAACAGCATGACAAGAGCTTAACCTTGGTAAAATGGCAAGAGCGCTGATGAGAGAGTGGAATTTTTGCTTGAAATGTATTAGATAGTAGATGTGAACTTTTTTTTTGCTTTTTAGGTTTACTTCTGGACATCAAGCCCATCATTACCTGCCAGTGAGGAAGGCTTCCAGCCGATGCCATCCATCACTATTAGGCCACCAGATGATCAACACCTTCCAACTGCAAACACTTGTATCTCCCGCCTTTACGTCCCACTTTATTCCTCCAAACAAATTCTGAAACAAAAACTGTTACTAGCCATTAAGACCAAGAACTTTGGTTTTGTGTAGAATATACTTAAAAAATGTGTGTATTGTGTGTAATAATATAACTAGGTCCAGGTTTTGTAGATTAATTTTTTCATTTGTCTATAAAATTTATGGAAGTTGATGCTGTCACTCACCTGGAGGTTCTCTGGTGGTAAAACATTCCTGTATTCGGCTTATAGCTGAAAGTCCAAACCACAGGCTGTAGTGGCTTTGACTGTAACCTCCTAGGCTTTTGGCTAGTCAGTAACCTGTTAGCCTAACCCCCAGCCAAAGATGACAGCAGATCATGTATTGTTACACTGTGATTATGGTCATTTGGCCTAGGAGAAATGAATATTGTTTCTGAAATTTCACTGCTGCCTTTGTCGAAAGTGTTTCATCAAAGGTTCTTGTATAGAGGGAAGTGGGGAAATTCAAAATAAAATTGAGAATGCTTTACATTTTGTGTGTGAGTATTGACCCTGTTTGCAAAGGCATTCAGCCATTCAACATTAGATACATTTTAAGTAGTAATTTAATTTGTGCATTCAGTGGGGCCTTGGAAGTGAAATAAAATCCTATTCAAATCATCTGTAACCATCATGGCTAAACTAACCAACTGCTAGTTAGTCTTGATTAGTTAATAGGGTCTCTTGTTATTTACAAAATGTGCTTAATCAGTCTCACAATATAAAACTGATCTTAACGCAAAATACTGGAGATGCTAAAAATCTGAAACCAAAGTCGTTGGAACACTCAGCAGATCAGGCAGCACCTATGGAGAAAGCAAAGTGAGTCAACATTTCGGGTCCACGACCCTTCGTCAGAACTGGGGCATGTTGGGAGGGAGAGGCTTTTAAGGGCTAACAGAGTTGGGAGGCAGGGCAAGGAAAACGAGAAAATAGGGTGGAGGGCAGTGGATGATAGGTTAAAGAGGTGTTAATAATGCAAAACAAAAGAGGGGGGAAATTGCGACAAAGTAGGCAGATCAGAGGTCCTTTAGAAACTCATCGGTTTGGATAAATTAAAGCAATTATAAGTTGAAACGTTCCATATACTGAAAATGGAGTAAATTTAAATATTCATGAACAAAGAGTTGGCTATCCAGCGGATGTGTATAAAATAGCCTTTTTATAGTCAAATAAATCTGCCATTTGCATTGTACTTCCTACACTTTTTGTAGTCCAATTGCTTCCTTATCTATATGCTCCCTCTGGGTAATGTCCACTTGTATGCGGATGTCACACAAATCTACTTTGCTTCCTCCAGTACCAACTCCTGTTCTGTCGATGTTCTATCAGCTTGTCTGGCAGACATCAGGGCCTGAATGGGTGTAAACTTACTGCAGCTGAATATGGACAAGACGGAAGCCATACTCCTTGACTCTCAACATGTTCACTCCTGCGGATCTAAACTCCTCAACCTCCCTGGGCTCTTCCTCAGACTCACCGAAGCAGTGCGCAATCCAGGCGTCTGGTTGGAACCCCAGCTGTCCTTCCTCCCCCACATCCAGTCCCTGACCAAGACCGCTTTCTTCCACCACTGCCACATTGTCCGCCTCCGACCGTTCCTTACCCCAAATGCAACCGAGACTCTCGTGCATGCGTCTGTCACTTCCCGCTTGAATTATTCCCAACAACTCCTCGCCGGTCTCACCAGCTCCACTGTTCAAAAGATCCAGCTCATTCAGAACTCCATTGCCCGCATACTGACCTGGACCAAACTCTACCCACATCTCACCAGTTCTGGCCAGGCTCCACTGGCTCCCCATCACCAAACGGATCGAACTTCAAGATTCTTACACTCGTGTTCAAATCCATTCACTCCCTGGCACCTTCCTACCTCTCTGACCTCCTAACTGCCCAATCCACCACCCAGCTCCTCCGCTTGACTGGCACTGGCCTCCTGCTCGTCCCTCGCACCTTCTGCCTCACCATCAGAGGTTATACTTTCAGCCACTACGCCCCGAAACTCTGGAACACTCTTCCTCAATCCCTCCGCCTTGGCCTTCTCTCACCTCTTTCAAGTCCTGCCTGAAAACTTTCCTGTTCGACGGTGCTTACGTCCACCTCCCCCTCCCCCAGCTCGGAGTCAGGTTCCGCCATTGCTAAGCGCTCTTGAGATGCTACCCTGCGTGGAGGGTGCTATATAAGTGCAAGTTGTCGTTGTTCCTTCATATTGAAAACCGCTTATTCATTATTTTAGATTGTTGTTCCCTACTTTTGTAACCAATAACATACTGTGAGCACTGCTGGAATATATACAGTTCATCAAATATTTGCTGCAATGTACATAATATGAACAAACACAATGATCACCTGAATACCCTCACCACTTTTTTCCTGAAACTTGAATTTTTTTTGTTCTAACCCACCCCATCAGACCTAGCATAGTATTAGCCTGTCACTCTTAACCTCTGACAAAGGAAGAGCCTTTGGCAACATCTTCTTTGTCCTGATTAATAAATAAAACACGGAAATTTGAAACAGCAAACCGTTGCTGGTGTAGAGCCTTAACCTGATTTTATTATTATATATCATATATATATATTTTAGATGAGCTCATGTACCCAGTGTTTGAATTGCTACACATAAAATCTAAAGGTATTTACTTTGCATAAAATTGTACTGCACAGGAGCCTATTTGGCTCATTCTGCCTGTGCAGCTCTCTGAAACCCTAACCCATTTAGTCCCACTCGCCTGTCCTTTCTCCATACCCTGAAATGTTTTAAAAATATACAAAATTCCTTTTTGAAAGCTATTAATGATGTCTGCTTCAATTAAGTTTTTACAATACTTAGAAATAAGCTTCTGTTTTAAAAAAAATCCCTTACCTCTCAGTTATTTTCAAAATGATCTTAAAAGTATATGCCCTGGTTACCAACTCACCAACCAGGAATAGTTTCTCCCAATATCAAAATCTCATAGTTTTGAACAACTATTATCAGGTTTCCTAATCAGAGAAGAAAGCATGGTCGAAAAGAAGTTTACTACAGGGAACTTAGTGGGTAGAGGGGCATAGGTACATTGGGCCAACAGCATGTACAATCACAAGTTTTCCTGTTTACACCAAGGTAATAGGATGCAGAAATGGGCACATAGCAATGTTTGTCAAAATGTGACAAAGGAAAAGGACTGAACGATAAATATGGTAACTTTGCTGCACTTGCAGGAGTACACAGTTATCAGTTTTCAAAGGTATGTTTTTCAGCTGTGACAACAAATGTACAAGTATATAGTGCCTTTCACATCAGGGAGTGTCCCAATTGTTTTTTTTATACAATTCAACAATAACATTTAGTCCAGTTGTTTAACTACTTTTGATGTCCATCATGCTAATTATAACCTAACTCGTCCCTATACCTTTTATGTTAGTGTATTGTGAATCTGACCAACTTGCCAAGAAAAGAACATTTAATTGTGGAGTTGCATGAGTTTTTTTTTCAAGGTGCCTGAAGTTCCTTGGAAATTCTTATGAAAACCTTAGCTTTATCTTTCTGTTCTCTATAGACAAGATAATCGGACCTCAGTTTAATTTGTAACCCAAAGGACAGCACCTCTGTCAAGCCGTGTACCCCTACTGCTGCACTTACGTGTCAAAGTCAATTCACGACTGTTTGTGGGACACTGCTGTGCGCAATTGGCTGCCGCGTTTCATCCACAAATATACAGTAAATTCACTTTACAGTATATTCTGTGAAGCGCTTTGAGACGTCTAGAAGACGTGAAAAGCGCTATATCAAATGCAAGGATTATTATTATTATTAAAGTCAACCATGATTTTAAATCTCAATACAGAACTTAACCACCTGAATCACACATGAGAATGCTATCAACTGAGTTGAGCCCTGAATCTCAGGGGATCCAGTTTAGGTCTGTGTGTTCGGGTGACCATACCTCCCTGATTTCCGAGGTCAGTCACTGAATGTAGTATTGTGTCCCTTATCAAATTTGCCCTGTCTTAACTTCAGCAAAACCTGAGCAAGAACAATAACATTCTAAATCAGATAGTCATCAGAGAAATACAGCCATTAATCCAATACTCCTCCAGTACTACCAGCATGAGGAAATGTGGTGAGTTCATAATTTTAAAAATGGCACCTGGATTTGGTTTACCAAATAACCTTGGTCACCTTAATGTCTGTCCCACTCCCCAGCAGTAAATCATTTAATTAATCCTGTTATCTTTCCTGATCCTCTATCCCACCCCCCCCCTCCCATATCCTTCACAAATTGCACCATTACCTCTATGAATAGCTCTTCAAAAAAAAAACTCCCTCCCCACCTCACTCATGTCCTTATTGTGGACTTTCTGGGCCTCACCGAAACCTGGTTCATCCCCAGGGATCCGTTCCCACTCATCACAACTTAACCCACCAGACTTCCACACTATCACCCATGCAGGAGAATGACCCATAGACTGCTGATGACAGCACAGAAAGGCAGACCTGTCACTGGGTTAGGAATCATCCACTCAGCTCCTGTTAACCCTGAAAGCCAACGCCCTAATGGGTAGGGTGGTCTTAGCTGGACAAGCAGTGGGAAAGCTTGATGGACAGCAATATCAATGGCAAGCTATGCAGTTTTACTGGTTAGACTCCAGCAGCACCCAACGCAAACTCTGGGGTTTCCAAGCCTTGGCTTCTGCCAATCTGTGCCTAATACTTACCGGAATTAGGTAAGCAGGATGGGTCCCTCCAGGGGGAGAGTGTGCATTCCATTCCAACAATTTATTTCTGGGATTTCCATGTGTAGGTGGGATGCATGGAAATCTCAGCTTGGTTTGGATACACTTAAACATCCCGATGGTTTTCTGCACGTGTCAGACAACAACAACAGCAAAAGCGCCTTTCACCTCGGGAAGACATCCCAGACACCCTGCTGACCCCCCAGAAAATGCAGGAGAATAGGATGTCAGTGTGCAGTTGGATCACTTGCAATTTTAATTTGATTTGAATTTTTCGAATAAATATATGTATATATATCGTGCTTTGAGTTATAAATAACACATATCAAATAAGTTTCTAATTGTCTTTCTTGTGGTCTGTAGCGCCATCTGGTGGCACAGGATTAGTATACAAACTAAACTTGTATTAAGGGCTCATTTACAAAGATTTTTGTCCCAGTATAGATTTCCACTTTTTTCTTGACGGACAGCTCTTAAGTTCAGTTTTAATTTTGAAGCTGATTTCTGTAGTTTTTTTTAGGAATTGCAGAAAAGAATTGTCCAAAATTTGCACAATCTGAAATGCTGAGAAAAAAAGTCCAGGTCCAGGCATAATTTCCCCTCCAACACCTGTAAATTTATTTCAATACAAACTTGTTAGGATTATTGTGAACTCCTCTTTATTTGATATTGTCCACAGGGTACATAGAGGTAAATAGAATGACATGGAAACAGATTAATTCAGATCACCAGAACCCAGGTTCTCCTGCTTGCGAGGCGAGTGCTCTAACCA